CCACTTCTGATTCAGCTTCATCTAGGTCTTCCATGTAGGTGTAGGATTCCAAGTACTTGGACTATCTTCTGCCGCTTTCCCAGGCCATTAGTAGGGAAGCTGGATCAGAAGTGGAGCAGCCAGGAATTAAACTGGCACCCATACAGGATGTTAGCATCACAGGCAGCAGCCTCCCATACCGTGCCACAAAGGAAGCCCCAGGAAAATCTTTAACTTTTGTATTCATACTAGATTATTTTGCCATTAAGATTTTCTAATATAGTGGTAATTATAGGTGAAAAGTGTTTTCACAGAACTTCTGAGAAATTGAAATCTTACAACTAAACTCTAGTTTGAAATCATGAAAATGACATAAAGCCATGTAGTAATTTGTAGTATTTTGATTGTTACAGACTAATCAGAGAACTTGGGACTTTTATGTTAATTGTATATTCAGGCCAATTTAATGCCTTAGAAATGTTATAGTGCACTCTGAACAAGGTATTTCATGGAAGCTTGAAGAGAGTAATGAGAGAGCTGGCTAGTGATGATGCCCATTGGTGGGTGTGAATGTGTGTGTGTGTGTGTTGTGTGTGTTGCAGGGTCTTAGTCCACCCAAACGAGGATGGACTGAGTCCGAAGAAAGGTAAGTGCGCCGCTCGCCCGCTCCCCAGCCTCCCAATCCCGGAGACAGACGCAGCAGGGAGTCAAGCAAGCAAGAACTTGGTTTATTGCATGCATAGCAAAGCCTTTTAAAGCACAAGACCGCAGGATTACTGGGGCAGGGCATAAGGACCAACCAATTACTTAAAAGGTCATTTTATGGGGCGACTTTTTACAGGACCAGCTATGTGTCTGTATACTCATCATCAGTTGTCGTCACCTCCCCTGATGCTGCGCGGCCAATCAGCTTTGGTGGTAAATGACTTTAGGTACCGCTCACCTTACTTCCTTTGGGCGCCATCTTTGAATTGCCATGTGTGCCTAATTTCCCTGCAGGCGCCATCTTTGAATTGCCTCCTGTGCCTAATTTCCCCACATGTGTGAATGTGTGTCTACTACTTGTACATATATATATATTTTAAAGTTAGAAGTATATTTTTGCAAGCAATTGCATAGCATGGATCTCCATTTCTCTATAAATACCAACTTGCAGTGTTTAATAGCAGTAAGTGCTGTGACATTTTTATTGAATATTTTACTTTTTAGAATTTTGTTTTGATAAACATGCACACTGTGGAGTGATAACCACTGTCAAACTTTAAGTTGTCCCCATCCTATGTGCTAGATCTCCAGAACTTAGGCATCCTGCATGACTGAAACGTTGTATCGTTTGACCAACATCCTCATTTCTCCTGCTTCCCAGACACTGGCAACCACCTCAGCTTTCTTAGATTCCACATGTGAGAAAGATCATGCAGAATTTGTCTTTTTGTGCCTGGTTTATTTCATTAAGCTTTGAGTCCTCGAGATTCAAGCATGTCATAAACAACAGGATTTCCTTCTTTTTATTAAGGCTGACTAACATCCCATTTTACATATATACCACGTTTTCTTTATCCATTCATTTGTTGATAGTGCTTAGGTTGATTCTATAGTATTACTTTGTGATTAATACTACAATGAACATGAGAGTGCAGATAGCTATTTGGAATACTGATTTCATTTCCTTTGGATATATTGCCAAAAGTGGGGTTGCTGGATCGTGTGATAGTTCTGTTTTAAATTTTTTGAGGAATCTCCATGCTGTTTTCCATAATGGCTTATAAATTACATTTCTACTAACGGTATTCAGGAGTTATCTTTTTTCTACATCCTGACCAATTCTTGTTATCTTTTGTCTTGGTAGTAGCCATCCTAATGAATGTGAGGTGGTATCTCTTTGTGGTTTTGATCTGAATTTTTAGATATGTTGAGTGTTTTTTCATGTTTCTGTTAGCAATTTGTGTATTTTTTTAGAAATGTTTACAATACTCTTTTAAAGGTTTATTTATTTATTTTGAAAGTAGAGAGACACATAGAGAGAATGAATGATCTTCTGTCCACTGGTTCACTCCGCAGATGGCTACAATGGCCAGCATTGGGCCAGACACAAGTCAGGAGCCAGGAGCCCCATCCAGGTCTCCCTTATGGGTGGCAGGGGCCCAAACACTCAGGTTATTTTCCATTGCTTTTCCCAGGCTGTTAGCAGGAAGGTGGATTGGAAGTGGAGCAGCTGGATATGAACTGGTGCCCATATGGGATGCCAGCGTTACAGGCAACTGCATTACTCACTATGCCACAATGATGGCCCCCTTTTACAAATTCTTAAATTTTTTTTTTCAATTTATTTATTTGAAAGGCAGAATGACATAGAGTAAGAAACGAGAGAGATCTTCCATCTACTGGTTCACTCCCCCAAATGTCTACAACAGCGGGAACTGTACAGGCCAAAGCCAACTGGCAGCAGGCTGCCTCCCTGGAATATTAAAAGGAAGTTGGATTAGATGTGGAGATGGGACTTGATTCCAGACACTCTGCTATGGAATGTGGGTGTCACAAGTGACAACTTAATGCTGTGCCACAATGCCCACCTCTACTAATTTTTTCACTGGTCAGTTTTCTTCTCTGAGTTGAGTTCCTTATAGTTTTTGGGTATTAACAGCTTATCAGGTATATAGTTGCAAATGTTTTCTCCCATTCTATAGCTTTTCTCTGCATTCAATTGATTCTTTGCTATAGTGAAAGATATTTTCTGAAACAGCTTTATAATTCATAAAAATGTTAAAACATAAATGTGTAGTACAATTGAAATTGGAAACATTAATAAACCTAAGCACTTTTTAAAATAAAACACATGTTGAATTGTAGTTAAGTTTGACTTTCTAACCTTGTTCAGTGACCAGATTATCTTATCACTGAAAATGTTCATTCTACAAATCATCAGTCACCTAGGTGCTAAACATAGATGGCTGACTAATATAGAATGCCTACAGTAGATGTGGAGATGCACCATCCAGATTCCCCTTATAAGAAGGTCTCTGGGGCCAATGTTGTGATATAATGAGTTAAGCCACCACCTGCAGTGCTGACATCCCGTATGAGCATGGGTTTGAGACCCAGCTGCTCCACTTCTGATCCAGCTCCCTGCTAATGCATTTGGGCACTTGGGTAAGCAGTGGAAGATGATCCAAGTCCTTGCAGAGGAAGCTCCTGGCTTTCATCTAGCCCAGCCCTTGCTGTTGCAGCCATTTGGGGAGTGAACCAGTGGATGAAAAATTCTCTCTCTGGCTTTCCATGTCTCTCTTTGTAACTCTGCCTTTCAAATGAATAAAATAAATCTTTAAAAAAATAATAAAAGAAGGCCTCTTACTTTGTACTGTGATAAACAATAGAATCCATGTAGCTCCTTCTGCTCATAACGTAGGTTCTGCCACAGCTGTGAAGAGGAGCCACTCCCCTTAACCCCCCATCTCCCAGGCCATTCCCTCTCTAGGACAGCATACATTTGCACATTGAGCAGTAGCCTATCACAGACTACTCTGATGGTCAGTACTTGTTTTGGAGCTTCCCATGTGGTTGGCTGAAATGCTTTTGATCCTGCATCACAGTTTGGATTCTTTCCAAACTTGTTTTCTGGGCCTTCCATTTACAGGTGTTGATCCCTCTAAATATTTTGCATCTCAAATAAAATATTGCTTCAATTTCAGAGAAACCAACCTGATCTCATGGGACTAGTTTACTGGGAGAAAATAATACATCAAACAAGAAATTAAAAATAGGATCAAAATTAGGTAGAGGCACAGTTGTCATGGTACTGTTTTATAACCTGAGTCTGATTGATCATGTTGTTTAGGGAGGTAGCCTGGGTTACTAGTCAGAGCATAAACCTTGGGCATGCTGATTACTCTTTTTTTTAATTTTTTTAAGATTTTGTTTTATTCAGCGCGGTGCGCCGGCCGCAGCGCGCCAGCTGCGGCGGCCATTGGAGGGTGAACCAACGGCAAAGGAATACCTTTCTCTCTGTCTCTCTCTCACTGTCCACTGTGCCTGTCCAAAAAAAAAAAAGATTTTGTTTTATTTATTTGAAAGGCAGTTACAGAGAGGTAGAGGGTAGAGATAGGCTTTAACTCTCTGTGCCACGGTGCCAGCCTCACTGCTTACTCTTTCCAGATATGTTTCCTTATTTGTAATATGATAATCATATATTCTCTTATTCTTGAGGAGACTAACCTGGAATTGCTGGTGTAGTTGGAGAAAGATTCCCAGCAGTAAGAGAGAGAACCGGGTGCACAAACATTTTTTTTTAAGTCTGTTTGCATCAGATTGTTTAATGCTCCATTGGGCAAGGCAGTTCATGTGGCCAAACTTTGATTCAAGGATGGGGAAGTAGACTTCCACCTTTCCATGGGTGGATTTGTAAAATAAATATGTATATGTATGTCTATTTGTATACACATATATGTAAACATTACCAAATACAATGCCTGGGTGACAGCGCCCGTGGCGCAGTAGGTTAATCCTCTGCCAGCAGTGCCAGCATCCCATATGGGTGCTGGTTCTAGTTCCGGCTGCCCCTGTTCCCATCCAGCTCTCTGCTATGGCCTGGGAAAGCAGTACAAGATGGCCCAAGTCCTTGGGCCCCTGCTCCCACATGGGCAACACGGAAGAAGCTCCTGGCTTCTGGCCTCAGATCAGTGCAGCTCCAGCTGTTGGCAGCCATTTGGGGAGTGACCCAGTGGATAGAAGACCTTTCTCTCTGTCCCTCTCACTGCCTGTAACTCTACCTTCCAAATAAATAAAAAATCTTAAAAAAAAAAAACAGTGTCTGTTATACTGTTATACAATTATAGTTAACATTTATTGAGCATTTTCTATAAATAATAGAGACAGCTGGACTATTATTAGTTAACATGTTTTATCTCAATATAATATGAAAAAAGTAACCCATTTGGAGAGTTTGGTATATTATTTTTGCCATATTAAAATATTATGTTGAAAACACTTTGCAAATACAGTATTCTCTTTTTTTCTCTCTGCAGTAAGAAAAGTGGAAAACCACCATTACAGAATCATGAGGTAAAATTTTATGTCACCTACTATTGGGAATTTCATGCATTTATTATGTTATATACCTTTAAAAAGGATAAGAATCACAGAATTTTAGATTTAGAAGGGACCTTAAAAATACCTCTCCAATCTCCTGTGTATTGGAGGAATTCTTTTTGGAACAGGAATCCTGAGAGATACTGGTATTTACTTGAATCTTCTTATTCTGTGGATTACTACTCTATAAAGAAGCCATCATGTATTTGGGTCTTCAAAAAGGTCATGGAAATTACATGTTAGGAAAAAACTATTATAGGTGTAAAAAATGTATTACACCAAAATAAACTTATCTTTTAATTCATATTTTCATGAACCTTTTGAAGCACTTTCATGATGAGATTAATCTTTCCTAGCTTCCTAGTGATTAACTTTATCATTACAGGATGAGTCTACTCTGGCTTCTCTAAAGGACCCTCGTAATATTTGAAGACAGTTGTATCTTCTGAATATTTTCCCCTTAGGCTGAGAAACTTTCATTTCTTCAGATGTTTCTCATGTGACATGGTTTCTGATCCTTTTTTGATTTTGTGTACATTCCTCTAGACCTATACTTGTTTACCTATACATTGTATCTAGAATAGATACAATGTGTCCAGATGTGATCTGACTGCCATGGAATACATCAACACTACTGTATTCCTTGATATGAACATCACATTGCTAAAATTATTCTAAAATGACTTTAATTATTTAGCCACATTGTTTACATTAAGTGAAGCTGATGGTAAATTATAACCTTCGTGTCTTTTTGATGAACAGTTCTGTTGAAAGATCCCTTACATCTTGTACTCATCGATTGATTTTTCTTTTTTTAAATAACAGCTTTTTGGGGGCAGCTGTTTGGCCCAGTGGTTAGGATGCCACATGGAATGCTTGTGTACCATATTGTGTTCAGGTCCTGGCTCTGCTTCAAATTCATTTTCTTACTGATGTGCACCCTGGGAAGCAGCAGGTGATGGCTTAAGTACTTGGGTCCCTGCCACCTACGAGGGAGACCTGAGTTGAGTTCCTGGCTCCTGGCTTATATCCAGCTGTTGTAGGCATTTGTGGGGTGAGCCAGTAGATGGAAGATCTCTGTCTGACTCAGTCTCTCTCTCTCTCTGTGCCTTTCAGATAAATAAAAAAAATTAAAATTAAAAAAGATTATATGATATAAAATACAGTAATATATTTATTGAGATATAGTTCTTATACCATAAAATTAATCCATTTAGATGTATACATTAATAGTTATTAATATATTCACATAGTTGTGTGGCTGTCACCAGTATCTAATTTGAACAGATTTCATGTCTGCCCCAAAATCTGATAGCCATTAACAATCACTTCTTATTACTTTCTTTTCTGTGATCACTGTGCTACTTTCTGTCTCTTGATTTGCCTGTTCTGTACATTTCATATGTATAGAGTCATGCAATATGTGGCATTTTATGCCTAGTTTCTTTTCATTAGTTGAAGGACATGTAGGTTGTTTCAGTTTGGGGCCTATTATGAGTAATGTTGCTATGGATATTGTGTATATTTTTTTGTGTGGGCATATATTTTCATTTTTCCTGTGTGTATGCCTAAGAATGGAGTTGTTGGGTCCACGATAACTCCACTTATTTCTTTTAAAGAAATGTTAATCTGTCTCTGTAAATGTCAGTTTATTGGGTTTAATCCACTGTCTGTATAATCTTTGTAATTTTGAATGTGGTCCTGTCATCTAATATGTGAAATAGAAGGTATTATTTACAAATTTAATTTACCTTCCCTTTTTTCCTCAAAATTGTGATGACTTTCTGTCTTCTCAATTTTTTTTTGTTTGTTTCAGTTATGGTTTTGTAACTATATTCACCTGTAGTGAAATCTGGTTCTTATTTCTCTATTATGGACATGATAATTTTATTAAAAACATCAGATTTTTTGATTTGTTCATTTACTAAATCAATTTTTCAACAAATACATGCTGAGTCTCTCATGTATACATGGCACTGCTATTGGCTCTAGGTATATGGTAATTAGAAAAATAAGTCCTTGGCCTCATGGAACTTTTTTTTTTCATGGCAGCTAATATACTAGTATAATATTTTCAAGAAAGAAGCAGCTCAGGACAACTTATTTAGTAAACTTATGATGGCTTCCATTGATTAGTGTCTCTCAGGTCTTCCCAAACCCTCTGCGCTAGTGTGGAAGTGTGTACACACACACACATTTATGTATACGAGTTTATGCTAAATCTGGTAGAATAGCTACAAAATATTAACAGTTGATAACCTGAGATGATAATTATAGATTTCTTATTTTTATTTATCAAAATTTTCAAATTTTTACAGTGAATGTGTTACTTATGAGGAGCAGTTGAAAAGGAAATATTTTCATTGAAATTTTTTATATAATTGTGTGCTCTGTAATGATATTCCAATTGACAGTAAACTGCAAATATGACCAAGATCCAATAAGATTATAATGGAGCTAAAAAAAGTTCCTATTGCCTGGTAGTTTCTTTATTTATTTTATTTTTTTATTTGACAGCCAGAGTTAGACAGTGAGAGAGAGACAGAGAGAAAGGTCTTCCTTCCGTTGGTTCATCCCCCAAAATGGCCGCTATGACTGGTGCACTGTGCCGATCAGAAGCAGGAGCCAGGTGCCTCCTCCTGGTCTCCCTTGTGGGTGAAGGGCCCAAGCACTTGGGCCATCCTCCACTGCCTTCCCAGGCCACAGCATAGAGCTGGACAGGAAGAGGAGCAACCGGGACAGAATCCGATGCCTTGACCGGGACTAGAACTCGGTGTGCCGGTGCCGCAGGCGGAGGATTAGCCTAGTGAGCTGTGGCGCCGGCTGCCTGGTAGTTTCATAGCCTTCCTCATGTTGTAATGCAACATATTACTCATGTTTGTGCTGATGCTGGTGTAAACAAACCTGTGCTATCAGGTGCATAAAAGTATAACATGCAGTTATGTGTAGTATGTGATACTTGATGAAAAGCTATGCTGTATTACTGGCTTATGTATTTTTTATACTGTACTTATCATTTTATTATGTGCTCCTTCTACTTATAAAGACTTACTGTAAAACAATATATTGTGTTAGGCAGGCTGCAGCCTCAGGCATCTCCTCTTTATTCTGTTTATTGCTTCAGAGGCTGCATTGAGTGATAGACCTGTGTCATCCAGGTTTGTGTAAGTGCACTCTGCTGTTCACACACAGTGAAGTCACCTAATGCAGTTCTCAGAACACATCCTTGTCATTAAGTGATGCATGACTGCGATTATAACCTTTGGGATGGTAATTGGGTGAGAATATTTTCATAAAATTGGAATTAAGGAAGAGGAAAGGATTTAATTAGAAAATAGTCTTTTTTAAAGATTTACTTATTTGTTTGAAAGTCAGAGTTACAGAGAGAGAGAGAGAGAGAGAGAGAGAGAGAATCTTCCATCTGCTGGTTCACTCTCCAGATGGCTGCAATAGTCAGCGCTGGGGCAGGTGAAAGCCAGGAGCCAGGAGCTTAACTGTATCTCCCTTGTAGGTGCCAGGGGCCCAAGCACTTGGGCTGTCTTCTGCTTTTCCCAGGCCATTAGAAGGGAGCTGGATTAGAAGTGAAGCAGCCAGGACATTAACCAGTGCCCACAGGGGGATGCTGGCATCATAGATGTTGGCTTTACCTGCTGTGCCACAATGCTGGCTTTATATTTTCATTTATTTGAAAAGTAGACAGAAAGGGAGTGGGGGAGAGAAAATCTTCCGTCTGCTAGTTCACGCCCCAAATTGCTGCAATAACCAGTATTGGACCAGGCCAAAGCCTGGAGCCAGGAACTCGGTCTGGATCTCCCATGTGAGTGTCAGGGACCCAAGTACTTGAGCCATCACCTGAAGCCTGCCAGGGTATCTAGTACAGGAAGACGGAACTGGAAACAGAGCTGAGACACAAAACCTAGTCACTCCAAGATGGGATGTGTATGTTGTAAGTGGTGTTTTAACTGTTGTACCAAATGCCTGTCTCTAATTCAGACATTAATTTTAACTAAAGCATATTTATACATTTTAATTTAAAACATAATTTGTCTAATTATGGCTGATTGTGAAGAGCTTAGTAGTTAACCCAAGAGTTGAGGGTGATGGTTATAATAGTTGGGGGATAATGTTAGGCAGGGAAAGAGAGTTCTTCTGTAGTGTCTTGCCTTTCCAAGAAGTTTCTTCTGTCTGTTCCCTAAGCAGCCCAATGATAGTGAAGTAAATAGTCTCTACAGGCTCTTCATGTCACTTTTTCCTTGCAAGTGGTTTTGTGCTTCTGTTTTCATGGACCCAGTGAAAATGAAAAAAATCTCTGAAGGGGTTGTGGTTATCTTCAGTCCTTCTACAATTACAGTAATTCACTATGGAGTCAAGGCTCTGTCCCTTGTGGGCCTTGCCTCCCTTTCCATTGTCATTGTTCTTTGTTGTTCTTTGCTCTAGCAATGCTTTCATCCTACTGTTGGTTGTGCATATCTGTTTTATTCCAGCATTGAGTTTTGTGCTTGATGTTCCTTGTGCTTCACCCCTCCTCCCCCGAAATAATCACATGGCTTCACTTTATGTCAGGTTAAATGTCCGGAGGCCTTTCTGTGCATCCTGTCTGAACCATTCTTATTTTCTCAGGGCCCTGCCTAGTCTGTCTGTAGTAATTTGTATATTGGTTATTATCTGTGTTTCCCCTGCTAAAAAGCAAGCTTCATGAGTGAAGGAACCTTGTCTTTGAATTGATGAGGAAGAGGGTGAACTAGCAGACTGTATATTGTAAATGTTAAGTGAAAAGTCTAGAAATCCAAATTTCCTGTAGTAACATCAGGGAAAATTCTGTTTAGGATTGTTTTTAAAAGTCCCCTGTTAATTAGGAAGTGGGTAATAAAACCCTTAATAAGTACTTGACCAATTCTTAGCTGTCTCTCTGACCTCATCTATTACTCTCCGAGCTCACCCCTGGGACTCAAGTGGCCATTTTGTTGTTCCTCAAGCACAGTAAATGGGCTTTTGCTTGGTGTTGGGACACTTGCTGTTTCTTCTGCTTATAGCCTCCTGTGTATTCATCTGGCCCCAGTGTTTAGGTGATATCTTACTTTTTGAAAGCATGTTTGAGTAAGAGGAGTAGTACAAGTCTTTGCTGTCTACATAGAGTATATTGATTTAGGTGAAATATGTTAATCTTTTTTTTTTATTACATCTGTTATAGCTATCTTTAAAGGACTTTCTTTTTCTTTTTCTTTTTTTTTTTTTTTTTTTTTTTTTTAGAAAGAAGGAAGAAAAGAGCGAGCTGTTGTGGACAAGGTATTTTTATCAAGGCTGTCAAAGATTCTGAAAATTATGGTCCCTAGAACATTTTGTAAAGAGGTAAGTCTTACGAAATTATAATGTTAAGTGTTCAACTTTCAAGGTTTATGAGATCAGAACAGTAAAACATAGCACTTTGGTTATACTGGCAGTCAGATATTTTCTGTGTAAGTAAGAAGGCTACCAGATTTTTGTCTTCAAATCACCACTTGTCAAATACCCTTGTTAAGTGCCAATTTTTCATTCTGCTTTATGCAAAATTCTAAATGACTACAGGGCAGCTATACTAAATGGCGTTGCTTTATTATAGTTAAATAGTGCCAGTAAAAACGATATTAAATTTAAAAAGATAAACCTTTTTATTATATTTACACATTAAGAAGTTACATTGATATGAAATATGTTAAAACTTGCTGCTTCACATTTGACTAGATATGTTTTGAAGAGACTCAGAATGATACCTGAAATCAAATATTTTCAGGAAGTGAGCTGATTTTAGGAATAAGTTTCTTTATTTCTTTCCTTTGCTTTTTTTTAAATGGTTGTTACTTAATAAATACTTGTAATGATTATCAAAACAGTGCTGTGTTTTTAATCACCTCAGCATTCTCCCTTTTATATAACCAGAAATTTCATTATCTGTGACTTCTCCTCCCCGTGTCTCATCTTTTTTTTTTTTTTTAGGATCTAGTCATTTTTCTTCTCTTCCTAACTGGATATTACAGTGATCTTCAGTTAGTTTTACTTCGAAGATCTCTTTTTAAAAACTCTTATACCAGATTTATCTTCTTAAACCATAACATTTCCTCATGTTCAAATTTTAAAAAGCATTAGCCTTATCATTGAGTAATAGCAAGAAAAGGATAAGCTGTTTAAATAGCGGTGCAGTTTCCAAGAGAAAGTCCTTTCCTCCATTACACTAGATCTGCTGTCCGTGCCCTCACCTCAGAACCATATCCTGTTGATTCTGTCCTGGAGAAACTCTAAAAAATAATATAACAACATCCTTTTTTTTCCTAATTTGATGGAGATTATATTTTCCTTGAAAAGCAGAGCTGGAAAATGCAGATGGATATTTTTCTCTTCTTTGGACTTACCAGTCTCAGTCATTTTGGTGTATGGTCTTGTTTATGAGCATATATTTTGATAAAAATGGAATCATACTAACACTTTTAAAATCTAGTCCCTCTCTTACATTTTCAGTGTTCTTCCCAGGAATCTTTGTGTTTTTCAGATTAGTCTCTGCCTTTCCATTCCTGCTGTTTTCACTGTATCTTACCTGGATTGTTATAATTGCTTTGATCTTTTTGCTTTCCAATGGCTCTGAGTTTTATTTCTGAAACTCAACTAAAAGCGTTGCTTCTTTTTTTCTTGTAGGGTAAATCACAAACTGACTTTGACCTTTTCAGTATCATCTGCTTAGCAGATTCATTACTATTTTGTGATCAGAGGCTGTGCTGTCATGCACAATGTCATGTCTGAAAACCTGTCCCTCTTCCCAGCAAAAACAAATGTGTTTAAAAAAAAAAGCTGAACACTTGTTATCTTCTTTGTAAAGGTTTCCTTTGACTCTTCAAGCATAATTGTTTTCTAATTTCTGTAATCTATCTGGCTTTGAAGAAGCCTTGTTGAAAATACATCCTTCTCTGGAAAGATTTATATATCATCTGATCAGTTAGCAACTTAATGCTGATACTCACTGTTGCAGGAGTTCATCATGGGTGACGTGAATGTGAGACATTGGCTAGGTCTCTAGGAGTTGGTAAGGGAGGTAGAAGCACCAACTTGGCTAATCCCTGAGTTTGTCTAGGTCTGGACCTGCCATAGAGTCATTTTACATGCCATCTCTGAGGAACATAAAGACTGAAGTTTAACCCAATTTCAAGAAAGTAAAATAAAATATTTGGAAATAATAGAAGATAAGACATAGAGTGAATAATTGGTATAGGAAATAGAAGTGAAAATAAAACGTGAGAGAATATGGAACTTCATGTGTATTTTAGGGTGAGGGACCTGAATCATTGCCAACTCTTGAGTTGCTGACACAGGTACAATAATAATGGGAACAGTGGTGATTCTGAAGACACCCTTTATATAAAAAATTTTTAGAACTGCCAGTAAAGCAAAGTTTGCTAGGTTTTACTTCAGTGAGACAAGTGAATTTGGTACTTCTTTTAAAGGAAAATATAACCAAGAACATAAAATGAGGGAAAAAAAACCAATTTATCTGTGTCTAATAATACCTTTATACTGCAGTGATTAATTTAGGATTGAGAGTATTAGGAGTCAGTGCTGTGGTGTAGAAGTTAAAGCCTCCACCTGCAGTGCCAGCAGCTTTTGTGGGTGTTGGTTCAAGTCCGTGCTGCTCCACTTCTGTTTTGGCTGCTTTCTAATGCTCCTGGGAAAGTAGTGGAAGATGGCCTAAGTGCTTGCGCCCCTGCACCCACGTGGGAGAACTGATAGAAGCTCAAGGCTCCTGGCTCCTGGCCTTGGCCTGGCACTGCTCCAGCCATTGTGGCCATTTGCAGAATAAACCAGCGAGTGGAAGATTTTCTCTCTCTTCTCTCTGTTCTCTCTCTCCTCTCTCTCTCCTCCCTCCCTCACTTGCCCCCTGACTCTATTTCTGCCTTTCAAATAAATAAATCCCCCCTCCCAACAAAATCAGAGGCAATATTAAATGTCTGAATTGAAAGTTGGCATTATTGTTAAAATGACACAGATAGATATATTGAAATCAATAGCGTCTTCTGTTGTCAACCGAATTCCTAACTTTGGGACAGTGGGATCAGGCAGGGAGATACCTTTCTTGCTAGCTAACTCTGGCAAGTCTTAGGGTGGCAGGTCCCACAGCTCAATTACATAGACTCTCTTTGACACTGTCTTCTTAGGGCTTCATTTACTACTTTTGTGTTTATGACCTCCTCTCTCATCCTTGACTTGGAGGGTTTTCACTTTTTAAAAATGAAGTTTGTTTTGTAAAAATTATTTAAGTAACACATGCTGTCGTCTCTCACTTCAGTAATTTTGAAACTGCCTATATTAGCCAACCAGTGTCCCCTACCCCAGACTTTAGTTGCTATGTGACTGTCATATTCTTCCACTTCAGAAAGTTTAAGGTTGGCTTTGAATGTGTATGTGTTTGTCAGGGAAGGGAGAGGAGGCAGCAGGCTTCTCATCTCAGAGATACCTGGCTTTAGTCACCCCACCTTTTAGCTCTCCCTCTTTGTAATCTGTTTTGCACAGCAGTGCTTAAGTAACACTTTCTAGACATCATTTTACATATTTTGTTCTTCCTGGAAGCTTGCAGTAACTTTATATTGTCTCAATTACGCTTCATATGCAACCCTGTACTTCATATGATTTTAATTTCATTTTTTTCTCTAAATCCTTTACCATTTTTTACTCTTAATTCTCTCATTCATTTTACTTGATTTATTTAATGTATTTCTAATTGCAGTAGCCATCTTTTGTTACTCTAAACCTTCCCATCCCAGTACTTCTCATATGAAGTCATATAAATGTGTTTACCTAAATTTTTCTGTTTGTGTGTGTGTGTGTGTGTGTGTGTGTCTTGCTTTCTTAAATAAATTGAAAACCCTGTGAAGGCAAGGACACTATTAAAAGTTTTTCTAACAAACTGAACCAAATTTATTTTACTTGGGCAAAATTTTAGTCTTCAGTACATTAACAGTTATTGCCATTTCTCTTTAAGTTATACATTTAAAAGTGTGATAAAATCATGGTGCATTGTGATTCAGGTAATCAAAGTTATTCTCTTTGCCTGTGTTATTGACTTGTTGTGAAGGCAAGTCATATAACCTGCCTAAGACTCATTGCATTCTGGATGAGAAAGAGTAAATGTTCTATAAGGCCTTTTCCATTTATAATATGTTTTAAATTTCCTTTTGAACCCTATTTAAATATTTTCTCTAGGTAAAATGTAGGTGAGTTGTATTAAAGCTAGAATAAAGCTTTGAATTTGGAAATCAAAAATCTTTATCAAAGTAATGTTTAACTTTGTAAAATGTATTTATTTAATTTACCTGGTTTATTTTAGACAGGTTACTTGATACTTATTGCTGTTATGCTGGTGTCTCGAACATATTGTGATGTTTGGATGATTCAAAATGGGACACTCATTGAAAGGTACTTGTCTGTTCACCTTCCTCTTGTATGTATGAAATACTAATTTATCTCATAATTAAGCATTATCATTAAAGCAAGAAGTAGGTTTCAAATTAGGTAAAAATACTTAATTTAAGTTATGTGTTCATTTACTTAAAAATATTTATGGGGTGTTTCGTGTATGCCAGACACTATGTGATAGGGTTCATAGTATATATCCCAGTGAAATGGAGAAACTGCTGGACCAAACCTTGCTCAGCTGACAGTTTATAGACTGTTAAAGAGACCAGTAAACAGAAAATTTAAGTGTAGTCTTGTAATGGGAGTTTTTAAAAGCCACCAAGTTTGGTATCTAAAATGAAAGAGATAATTTGGTGGAAAATATCAATGCATTTCAAGAGTCACCTTGAGCATGTTTATAAGAGGAAAAAAACCTCAGATTTTTTTTTTTTGTTTCTGAAGTTAGTGCTTTCTGTATTTTCCATTATTTCCCTACATATTATATTGTTGACCACTACAATGATTAATTCAAAATCAATAATTTTGAATTTAAAAACTTTGAAAATGTCAGTTGGGGTATCTTGGGTTGTAACAACCATTTAGCGTTTATCTGTTAATAAAGAATTTATTCTTCATGATACCAATTTGAATATCAGGGTAGGAAATATTTTCTTCGATTGCAGTAGTTCCTGGTTTGTAATATTTTGTTAGAAAATTTCTTAAAATACTTGAAGATGACTGTTTGAATGACAGTACTTAAAATCTCTAAATGCCCCCAAATTTTGAAATACAGGTTTTTTCTTTTAGATCCTTGATTTGCTTCTTAGAGAATTTATAGGAAGAGGAAGAATGCTTTATGCCCGAGTTTTCAGACTCATTTCTCTAGGAGAATAAAGAAGTTTATCTGCACAGGATTAAAGAATTAAGCACATACTTCTGAATATGGGTAAATTATGTAGGCTATTATATTCAACCAAGTCTCCCTGAAACCTGTGGTAGTCTCATGCCTTTTTATTTGAATCATAATTTTAAAAGTCATACATGAACATAGCTTAATGTCAAATAGTCCTCCTACAGGTTATAATTTCAAAACATACATTCCCAGGGCTCACTCCTTCCACTCAACTGTCATTACCTGGAGCCAATGGTTTTCTGTTGTTTCTGTTTCATCTTTTATGTTTGCATTTCAATATAACATACTTATATTAGTGCTTAGAGATTTTTTTTTTATGTTAGTGTATATGTTCATTTCCTACTTTGGAGGGTGAGAATTAGCTCTTTTGCATTCCTATCAACTCCCGTGCTCATCTTTTCAATTACATTGTAATTGTTGTTAAATCTGAACTTAATGGCCATGATTTTTGACTATCTTTACAGCTGAGCAATGTGGTTTACCTTGGTAGTTTCTTTTCTATAAGGCTTTTTGTTTTTCCTGGCATTTATAAATCACAAATTTTTGTGTGCTTTAATTTTTTGTCTACTCCTCTATAATTCAGCTCAGGCTTTTTGACAATACTGTGAAATCTTTTTAATATTGTGATATGATCAAATGTGCCAGGTAATCTATCAGTTTTGTCTCAACATTTTCACCCTCACCCTATTACTTGTAGTTTCCTGTCTTCTGTTTTAATCATGGCAGTTATACTCTAGGCCCTCTGAATAGCAGTTAAGTTTGAACTGTTTCATCATTAAATTGCATCTTCTCTCCTGCATTTACTAGCCTATTTTCTGAATCTTTTGTTTTCCTCTTTCATGGCTTACTTTCTCATTTTGGCAAATACAGTCTTTCTCTGAAAACAAGGTTCAAGAGAGAAATTTCTGAAACCTTATAGATTTGAAAATGTCTTTATTCTACTCTTACATAATATGTGATTAATTAGCAATGTTTGTGTATTCCTAGTTGAAAGGGTCTTTTCCTCAGAATTTTGAGGGCATCACTGTTGTGTTCTGGCTTTCAACCTTGGTTGCAGACAGTTGGGATCACCTGGTGAATTTTAGGAACTAGGCCTAATCCTACAGATTCAGGTTCGTTTAGTCATCGCTTTGTGAAAACATCCTAGATGATTCTAGTGTGCAGCAAAATTCAAAACCACTGCTGTAGGTCCATGGGATGTTGAGGCCTGTTGCTACTTTGATTGCTCTTCCTTAGCAGGGGATCTGTCTTCAAACTTTATTTTTTCACTTTTTTGGTAATTTGTGATGTATTAGTGGTGTTTGAAAATTTCACTGAACATCAGTGAATTTTTTTCCCATTCTTTTTGTTAGGCACTAATTGGTCCATTTTTAAGTCTATAAACTGAGTCTTCATTCTGAGACATTTTCTTGTTTTAAAACAATTTTTCCTCTCCATTTTTTCTGGAATCCTTATTAGTTGAGTATTGGACTCCCTCCATACCGCTAACCTGTTTATCATGTTTTTCTCTACTGTTTTCATATCTGACATTTTATTCTGTTTTCTAGGAAATATCTTTATTGTCTAGTGAGTTTTTATTGTTATTTTATGTGGATGTGTATTTTATAGCAATTATTCTTTCAAATATGTGTTTTGTTGTTTCTTCATCTTGAAACTATCAGTTTTTAGAGGAATGTTTTGTCAGCTCCTTGCATTGTTTGTTTCTTTCATTGTCCTTTAAAAAAATTGTTCTGATGTTTGTCAGTCATGGTAGAGACTTTATTGAGGCAGTCTATGACTCTTGTCTATTAACTCACATTTAAAAATGAAGGCTGTAAAAATTTATTGAGCAGGAGTTGAGGACTTGCTGATTATGTGGTCTCCCTTGAAGGATGTCTCAGGGAGTCTGGCCTTGTGTGTGCCTAGTGAAGAACACTAACAAATTGAAAGAACATGAACATCACCGACACGTTTGTTTATTGCTTCTAGTGCATCAACTGTAGGAGGATCCATTTTTATTGCTAAGTTCTATTTTTATGAGCAGTGTGCACAAGTAAATTGAATCTTTTGTGTAATTAACATAGAAACGACATTTATGCCCTTTAACACAATTATAAAATTTATATTTTTCTTTGATAACTATCTGATTTTAAATACTATATATTGATAAAAATACAATATCCTCAACTATAATATTGCTAATTGTCTTGTGACAAAAATATATGGATTATATCCACCATGAAATCATATTAGACGTTTGTGCCACCTTTTAGACACAAATTACTTACACACTCTGTACAGTAATAGTTTAGAATAGAAAATTGGTTTGCTTTAAAAAAATTTTCCCATGTTTTGTGATTTCATCCTTTTGTAATCCAGAAGAATAATATTATGTATTCACAACTAGGGATTTCTAAGTTTAATTAAATAGATGATAATTTTTATCAAAGACAATAATCTGGAAAAGATACATAACCAAGGGTAGTTTGTTACATCAGTTTAATTGATGATAATGGACAAGAGAAAAGTTATGAAGTATGAGCCAGCTTATAATTCTACTTGCTAAAATAGCCTATTGGCTACTCAGTTTTAAAATTTAATTATAAGATTAAAAATTTTTTTGTTTTTTTTCTTTGAATTTCTAGCAGTCTCTTAAAAATTAGTTTGATATGCTTTAAACTTAGAGAAAGGTTGCAAGGATAGTGCCAGAAACTTCTTCATACTCTCTTAAGCATATTCACTAATTGTAATTATCATTTTGAAGTTGTTAACTTTCTCCTTGGTAAATATTTTTGAGCCTCTGCTGTATATGAGTTCTTTAATATTTGGTCAAATATTAATATTTAATAAATTTATCCAAATTAAAAGTTTTAAAATATTGTGCATAGAATAATTTTATTTGAAAAATTAGTACTTTTTTGCTCACTGTTAAAGTTACATTGTAAATTGATTTATCTGTCTTTTCCTTTTGTTGCCTCTTTTAAAGCAGATCTAGATGCATGCATTTCTGCTAAGAAGATTCATTTTTGCTAAAGTCTCCAAGAGACTTGTTATAATCTTTAATGTGCTTCATTCTAGTATCCTTTTCATATTTTAGGGTTGTTATTAGCTACTGACTTTGGAATATTGTTAAATCTGAATAAAACTGTTATCTTCTTTAAGGTAGACACTGTAGTAATTCTATGATATAGAGGAGAATCCTTCATAAAGATTTTATTTTCACCCATTTGGCTATCAACAGCATTTTAAAATCAACAAATTCTGTAAAGATCTTTATATATTTTGGCAATAGTCATTAAGGCTACTGTAAATTTACTTTTTGTTAATTATTACTGTTTTTTTGCAGCGGAATAATAAGCAGAAATAAGGCTTTATTCCAGAAACCATTTTTTAAGTTTATAGCTGCTACTCCAATGGTAAACCATTGCTCAATGATGGCATGTACTTTACCAGAATTTTATAATCTTGTGTGTTTCACAGCTTGAGCCACACTAAAACACTTTGGTTTGATGTAAAGTTTGGTTCAAACAATTTTAACTTAAACCTCAACTTTTTGTACTGTCTTCATTGCTTAATGTCTCTATATTCTCACTGCTTATAAACAACATTTTTGTGTGGTTTTATTTTTACTTTGATTCAGTTCAGAGTTTTTAAAAACTTTTTTTACTTTCTAGTGGTTATATCAAAATTGGACTTAATTTTTTCACCACCCAAAAGTAACACTTCCCAAAGTAGGTTGTGTAGAATCCTAGGTATCCAGGAGATGTTACATGCTGTAAACCCCTCGGAGAGTTATAGTGCATTTATCTTACATTAAAAGCTTTGAGAAGGTCTTTGATAAAGACATTTGTTAGCTTTGTTTAATTCATGTTTTCCCAATTTTATTTACCTACTACCTCGTAAAAAAGAAATTATATTTCTGTCATATACCAATCACTTTTTAATGAGGGGATAGATTTAAATCATTTAATCCAAGGTTTCTCAAAATATATTATGTTTGGGAATATTAAGAAATACTTGAAAAAAGAGCTCTGTGATTAAATAAAATATCTCTTCTGTAAATGATAGACTTAGATTGTACCCAAAGATCCTTCACTTATATAATAGTGCCTTTCAAGCGTTTTAATAAAGCAGTAGAATCCTTATTTTAAATTCTTTTTAAAATTTTTTTATTTTGAAAGGCAGAGGTACAGAGAGAGGTGGAGAGACAGAGATTCCATTCGCTGATTCAATGCCCAAATGGTCACGACGGCCAGAGCTGGGCTGAACCAAAACCAGGAGCTAGGAGTGTCTTCTGGGTCTCCCATGGGGGTGCAGCAAGCGCATTAGGCAGAGAGCTGGATCGGAAGTGGAGCAGCCAGGTCTGGAACTGGTGCCCCATATGGAATGCCAGGGTCGCAGGTGGAGGCTTAACCTGCTGTTCCACAGCTCCAACTCCTAAATTCGTAATGTATATTTAAAAAATAGATAAATATGTAAAATATATGCTGATCTAGTTCAAGTTTGCTAAGGGATCTGAAGCTGTGCTGAGCCATTCTAAGGCTGACAGGAACTCTGCTGAACCATATTCTCTGATCTGTCCTTTAGTCCCAGGCTTGGCAGACTAGATCCTGGAGGACAAGTGTTGCTACCTGTTGTCTGTTTTGGTGAAATTTTACTATTAGCAGCCGTACTTGTTCTTGGCTGCTTTTGCTCTACAGTGGCAGTACTGTGTAGTTAAAACAGAGATCTTTTGGCTCAAGAGCCTAAAATGCTTACTTTCGCCCCTTTATGATAGGAGATTGCTGGTCTCTCCGTGTCAGTCTCTGTCATTAGTTCATGCATATTAGAATCAGAATGTTAAAATACTTAAAAGTAAACAAATGCTGCTTTATTTTATCTCTAGTAACCAATACCTAGGTCTGTATTTCTGCCTCTCAAAAATTTTTTTTTAAATGATAACATTTTGAAAGCAAACATACCTTTGTAGGAAAATGTTTTTTCACATCTTTTTTCTTAGTGATTCTTTTGATTTAATAGAAATTTCCGGAAATACTTTTAGAGCTTTGCAGAAGTTTTCTTTGTACTATACTTTGCTTCTTTTGCAACTAATGCATTGCATGTGCTGGTTTGCAGTGGTATCATTGGTCGTAGCAGAAAAGAATTCAAGAGATACTTATTCAACTTCATCGCTGCCATGCCTCTTGTAAGTTTAATTTATTAAAAATCTTAAGTAGGGAAAAATTTCATCTTGTTAAAATCTTTAAGGATTCTTACTATGTTTTTTGAAAATTTATAACACCACATTCCTATTTTGAGCCTAGTTTTATAATTTATACTATACTTTTCAGTATAAACCTTTATACTAGTTAGAGAAATTAAAAGGAATTCTGTACAAATTATGTATAAATTTCATGTATAGTAAAGGTATGGAGATGATTTCTCTTTTAAAAATCGTAACCAATTTTCTTCAGTTGGTAGCAGTAGCCTATTAGCTGGCGGTAGCATCTCCTTTCTAGATGTGACAAAAAGAAATGTTTCTAGGTGTGGCCAAATTAGGAGGCCTCCTGGTTGGGAACTGTTGCTTTAGGCCATAAATTATCATATTAACTTGAACTACTAAATATAGTTTAAATTGGAACTTATGATCTGAGTTTATTAAAGACTAAATTTTTAAGACAACACATACATGATTTTCTTAGCTTGGTTCTTATATTATTATTTTATTGGCACTATTGGGAATTTTAATGTTCTAAACTGGGGACAAGGGAAGGAAAGGAGAAGCTTGATTCTAAAATTCAATAAAATTGAAAATTGGGAATTCTAGTTTAATAAAGTTTGAGGAGGAGCATACGTAGTTTATAATTTTTTAAATTAAAAAAATGAGAAAGATTCAGCAGAGACTTCATGAGAAACGTTTTATTGTGAATTTGCAATGTGAATGTGATTTTGGAACTATCGAAGGATTTATTTTAATATGATGATCTGAAAAATAGCACTATTTGGTATAAAACTTAAGATTTTTAAAAATTTTGTTTAAAATTTTCTTATATTTGTTTATTTGAAAGACTGAGTGACCGTAAGACAGAGAGAGAGAGAGAGATATTTTCATCCACTGGTTCACTCTCCAAATACCCACAATAAATAGCCAGGGCTTAGGCTGAAGCAAGAAGCCTAGAACTCCATTTGGGTTTTCCACATGGATGCAGAGGCCCAAGTACTTGGGCTGTCCTCCACTGCTTTCCCTGGCACATTAACTGGATGCTAGATTAAAAGCCGAGCAGCTGGGACTCAAACTGGAATTCTAATATGGGATACTAGTGTCCTGAGTTGTGGCTTAACCTACTACACCATGACACAAGTCCCCTAAAAGTATTTTTTTGGTAAATGTAAATATAATGTTTATAGGATTTTATGTCTGAGTTTGTGGTGCTGCTAATAGGAATCAGAAGCTACAAAGATAAAGGAACTCCTAAAAGCAAATCTTTATATTAGAAAAGTGACAGATTTGATTGTTTACAAAGTTGGCAAGATGCCATCTCATAATTAAGATTCAGTTCCAACTAAAGTTTAACATAGGGTCATTAAAGCCAGTTGCAGTTTGGTTAGCCTGTTCTCTTTGCATCACTATAAATGCTAAATAAAACATCTGAATCATAAATTTGGACTATCAACCATAAAAATCATAGGATTTGAGGACATAGTGAATGATAAAAAAGTAAGTTACAGTAATTTAGTAAGCAGAAATGAAGCAAACCAATATTTGTTTGTTTGTTTTAGATCTCTTTGGTTAATAACTTCTTGAAGTATGGGTTAAATGAACTCAAGCTATGCTTTCGAGTACGGCTCACTAAATACCTCTATGAGGAGTATCTTCAGTAAGTGTTACCTTTTTTATATTAAAAATACTTGAATAGTAACATTTGTGATATTGAGGTATTTCTTATGTGTTTGATACGTATTTTAGAAAGCCTGCTCTTAGACACAGGAGTATGTTGGGAATAAGTTTCCTGGAATATTGCCTTGGCTCTTCCATTAACTGACAAGTCATCCTACTCTGGACTTGCTTCCTCTAAATGAAAAATGAAATGTTGAGACAGTCTTTAGAGTCTCTTTTGGCTCTAAACTTTTCTATTTCTATATATTTGTACTAGGTAGTATAATGCAAATTTTTTTGTTTTATTTTAAAACTCGCTTGTTTTAAGTCATTTTCTTATTGCTATTTCAGAGCTTTCACATATTATAAAATGGGAAATCTGGACAGCAGAATAGCTAATCCAGACCAGCTGCTCACACAAGATGTTGAAAAATTTTGTAACAGTGTAGTTGATCTATATTCAAATCTTAGTAAGGTAAGTTTTTCTAATTTTTAAATTATTTGTTAAGTTTGTTGAATTTTGAATCTAAAACTTATATAGAATTGCATAGGCAAAACCATAGCAAATAAATATGTAATGCTTTTATAAAAACATTGGAGTTATAATAGTTTTAATAATTAAAATAACAGTTTTTATATTATTTTAGGAGGTACTTTGGCCAAGAACTGACAGTTGAGTGTCTTAAAAAGATTTTGTAAGAATTTGCAAGATGAGATTTTTGGACTGTAAACAGATTTGAATTCTCATTTTTTGACCTGTGTATTTCTAGCAGTTGTTACAGATTGTCAGTTTGTATTTCCAGTTCCACATCCATAACACTAAACTAGGACTTCTTTCCTACCTGTTTCTCTGCTTCAGTATCTCCAATTATAATAGATCATTTAAGGTTTATTCAAAAAATTTTCAAAGGAGTTAGTTTGCTTCAGTTTTCTAGACATTTTTATTTATTTGAAAGGGGGAAAGCAAGAAATGGAGGCAGACAGAGTTCCCATCACTGGTTGGCACCCCCAAATTCCCACAACAGCTGGGGCTGGGCCAGGCCAAAGCCAAGAGCCAGGAACTGAGATTCTCCCATGTGAGTGGCAAAGGTCCAATGATTTGAGTCGTAATGTGCTGCCTCCCAGAGTGTGTGTTAGCAGGAAGTTGGAATCTGGTACAGGGCCAAGACTGGAACCCAGGCACTCTGATTATAGGATGTGGGTATCTCCCGTGGTGTCTTAACTGCTACTCCAAGGGCCCATCTTTTTAGTTTTCTCGTTACTGTTTTCCTCCTCTCAGAATGTTGCCAGAGCTCTTGACTCGAGCCATTTTTTGGCCCATGATTTTTTCCCACTTCTTTAGTTCTTACTTGTCTTAGTGATCTTATCTCACCACCCTTACAGCTTTTGTTTCTCATTAAGCCATCTTCTTTGTCATTGCTTCCTGCATTGACTAGGATGATGTGGTAGGTACCTATAGTTAGTTGTCTACCAGCATCCCCTCCGCTCTTCATCTGATAGGGTCCTCTTCCTGCTCTAATCCACGCAGCTGCCCTTGGTTGGATTAGGGAGCTTGTCTCAAGCTGGACCAATTATTATTTCTTTGCATCTGGTCACAGTTGGCCCAGATACCCATTCTTAGGACAAAAAAATTTATAAGGATCTGGGTTACCTTTTAAGACTCGGAATGATCCTGCTTCAACCATGTGGATGGAGAGAGGATAGGCAGTTCTTAGAAAAGAGATACATCCGGGGCTGGCATTGTGGCGCAGCGGGTTATAGCCCTGGCCTGCAATGCTGGCATCCCATATGGGTGCCAGTTCAAGTCCCGGCTGCTCTACTTCTCATCCAGCTCTCTTCTATGGCCTGGAAAGGCAGTAGAAGATGGCCTAAGTCCTTGGGCCTCTGTACCCAAGTGGGAGATCTGGAAGAAACTCCTGGCTCCTGGCTTTGGATCAGCTCAGCTCCAGCCATTGTGGCCACTTGGAGAGTGAACCAGCGGTTGGAGGACCTCTCTTTCTAGCTCTCTCCGTAACTCTTTCAAATAAATAAAATAAATCTTTAAAAAAAAAAGAAAAAGAAAAAGAAAAATGATACATCCACAGGAACTTCTCTTCTTGTGCACGGGCCCACTACTAAGATACTTTTTCACTTCATGACAGTCTTTTTTTCTTTTTTGAGTTCTCCAGAATCTTTTGCTGATTCCAAATTATAGGAACTCTGACTACATATTCTGAGGATAGGATAGGGGAATATATAGAGCTATTCATGAGTTTGGTAGATACATTTTTTCAAATTATTTATTTATTTATTTGAAAGGCAGAGATACAGAGAGTCAGGTTTTCTACCTGCTGGTTCACTCCCTAAATGACAACAGTCAGGTCTGGACCTGGCCAAAACCAGGAGCCAGGAACTCCATCTGGGTCTCCTACGTGGGTAACAGGGACCCAAGTACTTGAACCATCACTGCTGCTTCCCAGAATATGTAGTAATGGGAAGCTGGAGTGAGAAGTGGAGCCAGGACTCAAACCCAGGCATTCCTGTGTGGGATGCAGGTGTCCCTTATCAGTCTTTGCTGTTCCAAAATTCCTTCTCAGTGTAGATCAGTTTTGTAGACAAACAATTATGTATTCTTTCTGTGGTGATACCAAGCAAGTTTATAAGCTCAGAGCTTGCCACATCTGTGTTAGTGAGATTGTCATCAAATTAATTGTAATGGTATTATGTACTACAGTGTGCTCACTGTTTTAAACCAGACCATTTATTCTAGTGATAATAAGGATATTAATCAGAAAGGGGTGGCTTCAGACTTAAAGTGAATGAACACAATTTATCTTTATTGGAAAACACTTTAAAATATATGCAACTGATAGTGTAGCAGTTGAATTGTCGCTGTGTGAGGGGCAGTACATTAATGTGTGTTCTCAGAGCTTGAGTTTTATGTCACAGAATTAGGGTTATAAGCTCACATGATTATTTCAGTGCATACACATTATGATAAGATAATTGAATAAAAACCTACTAGAGGAGGAAGAGCCTCTAATTTTACTGGTCAAGATTTGTGGAAATCAGAAAAAAGCTGGTAACTGATTTGGGATTAACTCAGGTCATTTTATTCAGTGCCCTTATATTACATTGAGAAATTGCTAAGTTACTAAGGGTTAATTATCACAATAGAATTTATTTGAAAATAAATGTTTTTTCTACTTGTTATGCACTAGACATTGTTCACACAATCTCCATTTTAAGTTTCTTAAGAAAAGAACTGTGTCTTTTATATGTTTATTGATAAATGTATTGTTATAGTACATTATACGTAATGGGAACCGTACATGCTGACAAACATGTTGTGTTAACTACCAGTGTAGTTCTTTAGATTCAGTCAACCTAATTCTTTAGTTTTAATTCTGTGTATTCTAATATTTGTTTTGCAGCCATTTCTAGACATTGTTTTATATATCTTCAAGTTAACAAGTGCAATTGGAGCGCAAGTGAGTCTACTTTTATTCTTTTATTTTATACTTTTATTTAAATTGCTCAAAAGTGTTGTCAATATATGTATATCTCAAAGAATGTTTTCATGTATGTGTTTTCACATGACATATAACAGAGTCTAGTTATAAAATAATACTGTACTAGAGATTTTAAAAGCTATCTTAATTTGGTGTCTCTATTTCCTGTAAGTCAGATACTTAGAAATATTTTTTAAAGATTTTTTTTTTTATTTGAAAGTTAGGGGCCAGTGCTGTGACACAGCGGGTAAAGCCGCCACCTGCAGTGCTGGCATCCCATAGGGGCGCTGGTTCGAGTCCCAGTATTCCACATCCGATCCAGCTCTCTGCTATGGCCTGGAAGAGCAGTGGAAGATGGCCCAAGTCCTTCAGTCCCTACACTTGCATGGGAGACCCTGAAGAGGCTCCTGGCTTCGGATGAGCGCAGCTCCAGCCATTGCGACCAGTTGGGGAATGAACCATTGAATGCAAGACCTGTCTCTGTCTCTGTCTCTCTCTCTCTCTGTCTCTATCTCTGCCTCTCCTTCTCTCTGTGTAACTCTGACTTTCAAATAAATAAATACATCTTTTTAAAAAAATTAAAAAAGATGTATCTATTTATCTGAGTTATTGAGAGAGAGAGAGAGAGAGAGATCTTCCATCTGCTGGTGTATTCCCCAAATGGCTGCAACAGCTGGAGCTGGGCTGGTCCAAAGCCAGAAGCAAGGAGCTTCCTCTGGGTTTCCTTCATGCGTGCAGGGACCCAAGAACTTGGGCCATCCTCTGCTGCCCTCCCAGCACATTAGTAGGAAGCTGGATTGGAAGTGGAGCAGCCAGGACTCAAAATGATGCCCATATGGGATGCCGGTGCTACAGGCAGCAGCCTTATGCCACAGCACTGGCCCAACTTAGAAATATGTTATGGCAGTAATTTAACCAGAAGTACTTAGACATGGAACATACGTATACTTATTATTGCAAAGTAATGTATAAAAAGAAATTAGAACGGGTATAACATATTTTAAGAATTTTTTTAAAAGATTTTATTTATTTGAGAAGTAGAATTAGAGAAAGTTCTTCCATCTCCTGCTTCATTCCCCAAATGGCAGCAATGACTGGAGCCGGGCTGATCCAGAGCCAGGAGCCAAGAGCTTCTTCTGGGTCTCCCACAGGAGTGCAGGGACCCTAGCACTTGGGCCATCTTCCACTCTTTTCCCAGGTTGTAAGTGGAGAGCCTGATCGGAATAGGATAGCTGGGACACAAACCCGTGCCCATAGGGATGCTGGCACCACAGGCAGAGACTTAGCCTACTATGCCACAGTGCCAGTCCCAAGAATATTTTACAATAATATAAATGTTGACTGTTTCATGAGTCTTATTACCCTATCTCTGATATCTGTAATGACAAGAATTACCTTTGAATTTCTGAGGATTCTCATTGAAGTTGAACATCAGTTATTGAATATGTAATGTTATTATTATATATTTATAGCACAACTATGTAATAGTGTGATTTTTATATATATATGTATATGCATTTTATTTGATTAATACATAATTTACTTAGTGATTTTTGTAGGTTTCCAAAACACTGGGGAAAGTTGTTTTTTTTTTTTTTTGAAGATTTATTTATTTGAAAGAGTTACAGAGAAAAGAGGGATAGAACTTCCATCTGCTGATTTACTCCCTCAAATACCAGCAATGGTCAGGGCTGGGCCAAATGGAAGCTAGGAGCCAAGAGCTTCATCTGGGTCTCCCACAATGAGTGCAGGGGCTCAAGCAATTGAACCATCTGCCACTGCTTTCCCAGGTGCATTAGCAGGGAGCTGGATCAGAAGTAGAGCATCTGGGTCTCAAACCGGTGCTCATATGGGATGTGGTGTTGCAGGTGGTGGCTTACACTGCTGTACCACAACGCTGGCCCCAGAAACTGCTTTTTATTTAAATTTTTTTTGTCATTCTTCTTAACTTCTTACTGTTTGTGATTCAGGGTTAATCATACTTACAGCTTGTTTTACTAGAAACAAATAGAGAGGCCTATTCCTCCTTTATGTTATATTTTTATGGTACTTAATAATTTTTATCATGCTGAAGTATATGTTCATGTATTTTTGTTATTTTTGCATTTCTTAAAATCAGAAACTGTGTTTTAGTTAGATGTTTGGCCCATATTTACAGTAGTTGTTAAAATGCATTGAATCACTCAGAGTTAATTAAATTTTTTTGGTATGTACTGAATTCCACATATATTGTACTGGATAGTCAGAATGAAAAAAAAGGAGTAAGACATAGTTTCTTTATCTGTTCATCCATGGATAGACATCTAGGTTGATTCCAATTCTTGGTTATTGTGAAGAACGATGCAATAAACATAGAGTGCAGGTTTCTCTTTCACATGCAGATTTCATTTCCTTTGGATATATTTCTAGAATTAGGATAGCTGGTAGCTATGGTAGAACTATTTTTATTTTTATTTTTTTGAGGAACCTCTTTGTTTTTCTCTGTAATAGCTGTGTGAATTTGTATTCTCACCAACAATGTATCAGGGTTTGTTTTTTTCCACATCGTTAGCAGCATTGGTTACATTTTCTCTTTTTGATAGTAGCTACTCTAACCAGAGTGAGATGATACTTTATTTTGATTTTTATTTGAATTTTCCAGTTGGATAGTGATACTGAGTATTTTTTCATGTATTTGTTGTATATGAGGTATATATACACAATGGAATATTACTCAGCCATTAAAAGTGGTTGAAATTCTGACATTTGCAACAATATGGGTAGAGTTGGAGATGATTTTATTAATGAAATAAGCCAGACACAGAAAAGCAAATACCACATTTTCTCTCATTTGTGGAAGTTTGTGTGTGTGTGTGTGTGTGTTTGTGTGTGTGTGTGCGCGCGCACGTGAGAGAGAGAGAGAGAATTTAAATAAGTCCTTACTAGAGGCTGGGAAGGGTGGAAGAATGTGAGGAGATTTGCAAATGAGTACCAAAATGCAGTCAGGTGAAGGTGTTCCATAGGATAATAGATTAACTATTGTTTGAGATAAAGGAAATGAAATGGTTGCTTGCCTGGTGTGATTGGTTTATGCTGGGTATATCTCTTGAAATATTCTGTTGCACCCCATAGAAAGAATAGGTATTTCATATTAAAAGTTTAAAAAATAGTAAAAAAAAAAGATATAGTTCCTGCTCAGCAGGAGTTATAATATGGTAAAAGAGGTAGATATTCAAGCAATTCTAATAAGTGTGATAAATATAATAAAAGCTTTAGTAAAGTATTTAGTACATGGAAGAATCAGAGTTGATTTTTGAGCTGCTTTGGGGAGATAAGTAGGTATCCATTAGATGTTCCGGCTTGTCTCACTACCTGTCTGAATGCTATGCTCAGGAAACAATGATTTCAGTATGACAGAGCACAGGGATATGTAAATGATTGAGGGAGGGGCCTGTGATGAGCTTAGAAAGATAAGCTTCAAGTTTTCTCCTGAGATTGTCCATGGTTGATGAGTTCATTTACAAAAGTAGAAGGTATAGCAGCTAGAAGCAAGGTACATAAGCAGGGAAAGGCAGCTGGAGTTGCTGTGGGGGATGTGAGTTTGAGTCCTTATGTGGAAATTAGATCTTGGGTACGTAAGTGGTGAAACTGGAGGTATGAATTTGTAATGAGGAAGGAATCTGAGAGAAGATTAATTAATATCCAAAGAGAAGCACAAAAAGACACCTAAGGATTATTGTGGAGTCTTAAGAAAATATTAATTAAGAAGAGTTCCAATGGATGAGTGTTAATTAGATGCCATGGAAAAGTGAGAATTGCAATGAGATTTTGGGTGAGCAAAAGCAGTAGAGCAGAGGGATGAGCTGCTGTGGTTGAAGGAGTAGTGGCTAAGTAGTGAAAGTGTAGAGAGGCTGGTACTTTTTCAGAAAAGAAACAAGATAAAAACAATTAACCAAGGGAGCAGTTTCTCAGTCATTGTGACAATCGTACATGTTTGCATCCAGTGAATTTATTGTGATATTCTTGAACCTTCTATACCTTTCTTTCCCTAAAATAATAGGGCCCAGCGAGCATGATGGCCTACTTAGTTGTTTCTGGGCTGTTCCTAACTCGACTTAGAAGACCCATTGGTAAGATGACAATAACTGAGCAGAAGTATGAAGGTGAATACAGATATGTTAATTCCCGGCTCATCACAAATAGGTAAGGAGAAATGTAATAAAGCTGTACTAAATTCACTTTTATAGATGTTGATGTAATCTCAAGTGACTTCTCAAAGCCTAATAACATACATATTAGGGTTTGAAAAATACACTTCACAAAGGGTATTCATGTTATGAAGTAAGAATATTCCACATTTTGAGCTCCTTTTCTTTTTTTTTTTTTTAATATTTTATTTATTTATTTGAAAGGAGAAAGAAAAAGAGAGACAGACAGACAAATCTTCCATCTGCTGGTTCATTCCCTAAATGGCTCCAACAGCTGGGGTGGACCAGGCTGAAGCCAGGAACGAGGAGCTTCTTCTGGGTCTCCTACATGGGTGCAGGAACCCAAGGACTTAGACTATTTTCCACTGCTGTCCCAGGCTTATTGCCAGGGAGCCGGATCAGAAGTGGAGCAGTAGGGACTCAAAACAGTGCCCATGTGGGATGCTGTGGGCGCCAGCATTGTAAGCAGTGGCCTAACCCGCTGTGCCACAGCACTGGTCCCTCCTTTTCTTTTTTTAAAAGATGTTTATTTGTTGATTTAATTTATTTGAAAGTTAGATCGAGAGAGTCAGAGAACTTCCATCCACTAGTTTATTCCCTAAGTGCCTGAAACAACTTGGACAGGTCTAGGCCACAGTCAGGAGCATTGGGTGGCAGGGACTTGATTACTGAGGCATCATCTGCTGCCTCCAAGGGTGCACATTAGCAGGGAGCTGAAACTGAGAGCAGAACTAGAACTGGAACCGAGGCATTCCAATGTTCCAGTGTCCCAAGTGGCATCTTAACTGCTGTGCCAGACATCCACCCCTCACACTCTTTTTTTCTTAACAAGGAAGTATTCCTGATTTGCATCATCATATGTGTAGTTCACTAATTTTCTGATCATCTCCCTTTAAGCATAGTCAAGGTATAATTCCAATTCCAATTTTCTTATACTGCTCAAAGAAAATTTTGTCTCAATTTATCCAAAAATATTTTGAGACTATGTTTGTAATGCTCAGTAATTCATTCTCAACTGCATGTGTTTCTACTTGCCTTCTGAGTTTTAAAATCTAAATAGGAAGAAACATGTGTTTGGACCCAGCTACACTAATTTCAAAGTCTACTTCCTCTACTCAACAGTTTTATGATTTTAGCATGTTATTTCTAGCCTCATTTTTCTTGTTCATAATAGGTAGATATATAGGATTATTAGGATTACATTCAGATATATACATATACATACATATATATATATATACACACACACACACATACACGGCTTTACCTCAGTTTTTGTTAATTAGCAAGAGCTAAAATTTTCTCATGTGATCCATCAACTTTCAGTCGTTTTGAGTATACTAATATTTATTTAAAAATCTGTAGGCTATTCTGTAGGACTTCACCGAGTTACTTAGGAAATTGCTTTTTTAAGAGTTCACGCATCCCTTTTTGTACTTGGAATGTTTAAATTAAAGTGGTACCAATTTTGAGTGGGTTTTTGTGCTCTACAGAGGCAGAGGAATAGATGGATAAGTGAAGAGATGATTTGCCAACTAAATGAAAGATGGTATCAGCGAGGATGTTTTCAACCACAGGAAATAGAAAACATGACTCAGTTAGCTCCGATAAATAGGCGATAGCTACTTCCCATAAGACGGGGCAGTGTCTGGCACAGCATGGTCAAAGCTCTGCTCTGCCCTACTTATGTGTTTTTCTTGTCCTTAGAGTTTTTCTTGTGATCACCAGATTTCAACAGCTTCTCTTCCCTGGTAAAAGGTCTGGGAGTAATAAGGAGCCATTTCTTCTTAGAAAAAATACCCTGTGCCCCAAGTCCCACAGCTGACTCTGCTTCATGTCTCATTGAGCAGAATAACCGTGTGCTCATGACTGAAGCGGTCACAGCAAATGATTGTGTTGGACCGTTTGGGATGTATACCTTCTGAAGGGGGTTGAGGCCATTCCTAAAGCATTGGGGTGCACAGAATAGGATAGACAGCTCTAAGAGAATTGGAGTTCTCTTAGGAAGAAAGATACAGAAGAGAATGATGTTGGCTAGGCAGCCATTGGTATCCTAAGGCATTCTGTCCATTTTGCTTTTTGATGAGGGGTGAAATGACTAGGTTGAGGAGGAGAATCCTCACCTCATGTGCCTCCATAGGGTCAGATATGCAAAGGAGGGACAAGGATATAAGAAGTAATTATAGAGACAGAATTATGGGATCCTCTTATTTGGTATTCTTAAAACTGGGACTCTTTTTTAAGATTTATTTATTTATTTATCTGAGAGGTGGAGTTACAGTGAGAGGGAGAGACAGAGGGAAAGGCCTTCCATCCTCTGGTTCACTCCCCAAATGGCTGCAATGGCTGGAGCTGCGCTGATCCAAAGCCAAGAGCCAGGAGCTTCTTCTGGGTCTCCCACGCAGGTGCAGGGGCCCAAGCACTTGGGCCATCCTCTGCTGCTTTCCCAGGCCATACATAGCAGAGAGCTGGATGGAAGAGGAGCAGTCGAGATTAGAACCAGTGCCCAAATGGGAAGCTGGTGTCACAGGTGGAGGATTAACCTATGTACCACAGCGCCGGCTTGGGACTGTATTTCTTTGTCAAGGAAACCATGTAACAGGATAAAAGGCAGTGCATCTTTTTGAAAAGTTAACTTTATTTGAAGGGGTTGAAGTAGGAAGCACTTTGTTTTTATGGTGAAAAATTGCAGGTAGGGCCTGTATTATGGTGCAGCAGGCCACCTGTGATGCTGGCATTCTATGTGAGTACAGATTCGTGTCTCAGCTCCTCCATTTTTGATCCAGCTCCCTGCTAATGCCCCTAGGAAGGCAGTAGAGAATTTCCTAACTACTTGGGCCCCAGATACCCACCTGGGTGACTCAGATGGAGTTCCTGACTCCCAGCTTTGGCCTGACCCAGCTGTGGTCATTTAGGGAGTGAACCAGCAGATGGAAGATCTCTGTCTCTCCCTGTCTCTAACTCTGCCTCTCAAATAAATAAAGAAATCCTTTAAAAAAAAATTGTGAATACATTTTACAGTGGAGTAAAAAACTCAAATTTTTAAGTGAAAAAAAAAAAACTTTGAAGAAAATTAGTTATTTATTGAAAGGCATTTCTTTCTTTTCCTTTTTTTTTTTTTTTAAGATCTATTTGTCTGTCTGTCCATCCATCCATCTGAAAGGCAGAACGACAAAGGGAGAGACAGAGATCTTTGACCTGCTGGTTCACTTCCCGAATGTGTACAACAGCCAAGGCTGGGCCAGGCTGAAGCCAGGAAACAGGAACTCTGTCCTAGTCTCCCACATGGATGGCAGGGACCCAAGGACTTGGCCATCATCTGCTACCTTTCCAGGCATGTTAGCGGGAAGCTGAATCTGAAAAGGAGCAGCTGGGACTTGAAGCAGCGCTCCAGTATGGGATCCCAGCATTGCAAGTGGCAGCTAAACCTGCTGTTCTACATCTGTGACTCTTGAAGGCTATTTCAATTGTGCCTTCTAGACTCCCATGTAAATATTTACTTTCCTCTGTTGTAAGAGGTACTTTGCTGGGAAAATTACATCATCCTTATAAAGTGGAAAAATTACCAACTTTAGAGTCAGAATTACAAGTTCAGTACGTTGGCTTTCTGGTTGTATGACGTTCACAGATTTACTTAACTACGCCGAGGCTTTCTTCTATAATATATCCTTTTTTCCTAGTCATTCTGGTAGACTCATTCAGAGCAGCTTAAGAAAAAGGGGAATTGTGAGGATATGATGGGGTTCCAAGAATAAGATCAACCTCTAACCAAACAGGCCTCCTCAGAGCTGCCTGATTTTGATTTAAGAGCATGTCAGTTGTTCCCTCCCCCCACCCCCTCCTGTGTTGGTCTCTACTATAACTTGTAGTCTATAATGTTGGTCCTAGCTCTTTGTTTCCATATATTTTGACATCTTCCTTCTCTGTCTTATTTCAAACTTCTGAGAATTAACTTGGTACAATTTTCTAGCCAGGCTACACATAGCAAGGGCTGCAGTCCAAGTTGCAATCCAGTTAGGTGTGTATTCTGGAATTCTAATCCGCTGAGCAGGAGCAGGATCTTAAATTCAGACCAGTGCTTGACATGCACCAGATAAGCTGTTAGCCACAAAATATTGATTTGAATGCAAATGTTCAATTCTCAAATACTGTATTTCTATTATTTTTCAGGCTTAGCTAATGTTAAAATTAATTGCTAAATTATTTTCTTTAATAGTGAAGAAGTTGCCTTTTACAATGGGAATAAAAGAGAAAAGCAGACAATCTACTCAGTCTTCCGAAAACTGGTAAGATGACATACTTGAGGCACATGCATTGATGGAAAGAATTTTGTTTGGCTTGTACCATCTTTAAGTTATGAGTATATTATATGTCTTTAAGATAGATATACACACATACATGTGTACATAACTTAAAGATACTTATTTTTAAATAGCTATAAGTGATTTTATACCATGTATTTTTTTAAAGATTTATTTTATTTTTTTGAAAGACAGAGTTACAGAGAGAGGTAGAGAGAGAGAGAGAGAGAGAGAGGTCTTCCATCTGCTAGTTCATTCCCCAGATGGCTGCAATGGCCAGAGCTTCGTTGATCCAAAGCCAGGAGCCAGGAGCTTCTTCCGGGTCTCCCACGTGGGTGTAGGGGCTGGAGGACTTGGGCCATCTTCTACTGCTTTCCCAGGCCATAGCATAGAGCTGGATCGGAAGAGGAGCAGCCGGGACTAGAACCGGCACCCATATGGGATGCCAGTGCTTCAGGCCAGGGCTTTAACCTGCCGTGCCACAGCGTCGGCCCCTAAGCCATAGTTTTAGTAGAAACATGAGTGTTAAATACTATCGTATCAATTAAACTGCCCATTTATAAAAATGGATAAGATTTATTAAAATACTCCTCAGTGCATTTTTATGGATATTTCTTAGGAAATTTATTTAGCTTTAAATTTAATGATTCCTACAGAATGAGATTGTTCCTGCAGCATTCAGGAAAATCCTGTGAAGATTATTATGCAGAGCAGGGCCAGCAGGCATTTTCTGGTTTAAGGGCGATAGAGTACATATATTGTAGGCCTTTCAGATGTGTGATCTCCATTGCAACTCTTCAGTTCTGCCTCTCAGAGGTAGCCATATTCAAAATGAAATGAGTGGATGTGGCTGTGTTCTAATAAAACTGTACTTACAAAAACAGTCGCAGGCTGGATTGTGGCTGTGGATGCTAAGTTTGCTGACCTTTGATTTAGAACATAAACTTTGTTCATGTGAAAGCTCTAACATAGTTTTTATTTAGTTGCCACTTGGGAAATTTGAATTCAAGTAATTTTATTCATTGTCCATTCAAAAGATAGTGAGTGTTGTCTGACTGCTTGCTCCAGGTTAATGATAATGATGTTAAGCGGTATGATTAAAATGCTGCCTTTTCTTTTTTTAGTGAATGTAAAATGCTGCTGCTTTATTTAGTGAAAGTTTGTGAAAGTAAATGCATATTTTGGGTTGTTTAGATAGAGTGAAGAATTGTCATTTTAAATTATTTACAAAATTTGATCTTTGCCATGTTGATACTTAGTATGACTAAACTTTAGCATGCTCACTGATAAAATGCATTCAAGGTAATTTACTAGCTGTTCTTCACATGGTTTATTGATTCTCTTTCTTCAGATTTTCAGTCCAAATGTTAATTCCTTTTTGAGGCTTTTCCTTCTCTGATCAGCTTATTTGAAATGACCTCAGACAGTTACTCTGTTTCTTTAAAATTTTAATTTGCCATTTATAATCATCTTGCTCATTTATGATCATCCTCTTTCACTAGAATGTGAACTCTTTGAGCTCAGGAGCCTTGTCTGTTTTATTCATTGGTGTTATCTAGCTGTGAGCAGGGTGTCTGACACAGGCTAAAATGCTGCACACGTTGCTGTAGTTGCAGAAGAGACTGTACAAGCTGCCATGTGCTCAGGAAGGTCATGTTTTAGTGAGGAGACAGTGAATATGTATGTGATGGGCTGTTCTGTGTAAATGACAGGTAGTAATCAATTCTGTGACCACAATGCAGCAGGATCAAGAAATAGAATATGATTTTGGCTATTGCTTAGCTATTTGGCTAGAATGACCAAGAAGGTCTTTGTTGAGGAGGTAATGATTAAGCAGAAACCTACATGAAGTGAAACCTACATGAAGTGAAAGAGTTAGCCATAAAATGTACATTTTTAGGAACAGAGTATTCCTGGTGGCAGGGGTGGCAAGAGGAAAGCCTTAAGAAAAGAGCATGTTTGAGAGCTCAGTGAGAAGGAACGAAGGAGCAGCAGATGATGGCTTGAAGGTGGACTCCAGTGCCAGGTTATGCAGGACCTTGCATCATCTGATAAGTAGATCACCAGCAAACACTGAAAATACAGAATAAAAAGCAGTTTTTAGGATTGTAATTTTGATGTGACTCATGCTCAGGATAAAGCTACAGACTCAGGCTGTATAGCACAGATTTCCATTCACACTTGATTTAGATTGTGTGTGACAAGTTTTTGGGAAAGCACAGATCATGTTGCATGTCTCTGCTGAAAGTGAAGCCTTGTGTACCAACCTGGACTGCTAGTGTTTTAAGCAAGTGAGCTTATCCCTCTGTTCTTTTTACTTTGGTTGTTGATCAGTTTGAGGATATATGTATCTGACAGTATTGTGACTACTATTACATGTAAGGGAAAAAAATTGTTATAATGAATTATATAATTTCCTTTCTTTTTGCATAAAAATGGTTTCATGAAGTCTTTGGCACCTGCTCTATGACTAGCATTCTGCTCAGCTAAGCGTGATGTACAATATGATCAGAAATCAGTCACACAATAAATATTTTTGGAATATATTAATTATACAGTTTTATCCTCATGGAAATTTGAATTTTTTATATGTATAAATATATATATATATATATATGTATGTATGTATTTTGTTTTCTGCTAGGTGGAGCACCTGCATAATTTCATTTTGTTCCGGTTCTCTATGGGCTTCATGGATAGTATAATTGCCAAATGTAAGTATATTTTAAAAGAGATGGTCAGTGAGGTTTGAGGAAAAATTGCAATATTGCTAATGTTTTGAATCTTCCCTTGTTTCAGACCTGGCCACTGTAGTTGGTTACCTAGTCGTCAGCCGCCCTTTTCTAGATTTGTCTCACCCTCGACATCTCAAGAGTACACATTCAGAACTTCTGGAGGTACAGTGATGATAGTAAAATGGAAAACCAAATACAAAAATAAAGACTGGTTTTTAATTTTGGAAATGTAAGTGAAAACTAATATTTATTTCTGTTTAAGGATTACTACCAAAGTGGAAGAATGCTTTTGCGAATGTCTCAAGCTCTGGGTCGAATAGTTTTGGCTGGACGTGAAATGACTAGATTGGCTGGGTAAGATTGGTAAAAATGAGCAATTGCAGAGAATGATCTTTTCAAAAATATGTTTTCCTTAATGTTTATATCTAATTGAACTTAAGATAAGGGGATATTTCCTGTTCCAGCAAACTGATTTCGATAGAAAACTAAGGAGGACTTTTCTCTGATAGTAAACTTCATGTTTCCTAAAGACGGTTATCTGGAGCATAATGCTAGATTAGTGATTCTCCAGCTGTTGTTCCATGGACACTGGCATTGATAAGTTGGGAAGTATTGAGTCATGGTAGTTTTTTTTTTTTTTTTAATTCACAGAAATTTAAGCTAATTGAGTAGAATTGTCTGATTTGAATTTTCTGTCCTTCCTGCAATATATATGTATATATATATTTTACCCTTAAATTTGATAATGGCAACCCAACAGAACAGATGGACAAAAATGAAAAGTTAACTTGAGTTATGTGTAGGTGCAGTTTTACATATGGTTGTATTGTCTAGTATTAAAATAGCTCTTAGCTATAGAGTAAAATTGAATATTTTAGTATGTCAAGCTCTAATATACAGGGCACAGTGTGGTGTAAACACACCATAATGTGAACACCACCATAAATTTCAGGTTACTTGAAGGCATTTGAAGTCTTTTACTCTTCCTAGGCCTGTGATCCATCGTTTTTTTCTCCTTTGGCAGATAAGATCTTCATGGCAAGATTGGATATTGTAAACCACTAATAGGAGTCCTTTTCTCTTGAGAATACTAATGTTCTTCCTACTTCCTAATAGCTTTTCTCATGCCTTTACAGTTCATGGTGTATAGCATATGGGGTGCTTCTGTTCATTTAGGATTTTTTTGAGCCATTTATTGAGGTATGAAGGATATATAAAACATTGTATACATTTTATGTGTGCAGTGAATACGGGGATAAATTATATACTTGTGAAGCCATCACTGCCATCAACTACATGAGCATATCCATCTCCTCCTAAAGTTTCCTTTAGGAAGTTGCTGTTTGTTATGAATGGAAAAATCCTGTTTTGCTCCTTTGACTTTCTCTTTGACTTTTATGTCATTTTTATACTCCCAAACCACTTGTCATTGTTTTTGATTTCTCTGTGTTACCACAGTGGTTTCAAAACCATCTCATATTAAGAACTCTCTCTCTTTTCCCGTCTTACGAATAAGCAATGTCCTAGATTCTTCCCTATTTGCCGAGAGCTAGTGTGCATTTGACATACTTCTAATAAATGCCTTCCTTGGATAGAAAAGCAAACTTTACACATGGCTTTATAGGTCACTCCAGCAGGAACTCTCTGTCCACACTTCCTGGTCTAAGGAATGCACTAGCAGTCGTCCTTTTGTAGTATCTGCGAGAAACTTCCTTAAAATTCTAACAGCAAACAGTCATCTTGCCTTGCTTGTTAACAAAGTATCTGTTGGTGGGGATCCTCTGAAACCTGTCCTCTTATCCTCTTATTCCTGCTCTTCAACTGAAGTATAATAAAACGTGTATTATCATTAATACTTTATGTTTATCTTTATGTTTATCTTTATGTTTATACTTTATGTTATCTTTCAGGTTTCACTTAAACCTAAGTATAATTTTAGAAACTAAACTTTGCATAAATAAATATTAATGATAGTCTGCAGTTTTAATTATGATTTTCTTTTTAAAAATTTTTAGTTTTACTGCCCGGATTACAGAACTAATGCAGGTATTAAAGGATTTAAATCAAGGCAAATACGAACGCACAATGGTCTCACAGGAAAAAGGTAAATATGAATCTTACAACCTAGGTCACAGTATTATGTTTTGCTGACATATGTTGCTTTAATACTTATTTTTCATTTAAGGTATTGAAGAAGCACAAATCAGTCCCTTGATACCTGGTGCTGGAGAAATCATCAATGCAGATAACATTATAAAGTATGTATAGAAAATGGTTCTTTAGCACCATAAACATTTGCTAAATTTCCTAGTAGCTTTCCTCTTTCAGCTTCCAGTTGCTTCATGTTTAATTTAAAATTACCCTTTTTTTTCTTTTAACAGCTTTGAGATATAAATTTATATGTATTTAAGGTATATTACTTGATGTTTCAATCATTGTGAAATGCTCCCTGCATTCCAGCTAATTAATGTCTGTCTTCACTTAGTAACCAGTTACCATTTGTGTGTGTGAGTGAGTGTACAGGTGGGTGTGTGGGTAAGTGTGCAGAGGTGGTGAGAATTTAAGGTCTGTCTTAGCAAGTTTCAGGTATTCAATGTATTATTAACTATTGTCCCCAGACTGAACTTAGATTCTAGAACTTACTCATCTTGCAAAACATAATGGAAACTTTCATACATTTGAGCAGCGTTCTTCCCACTTCTCCCTCCCTTTAATCCCTGGCAACCACCATTCTATTCTCTGTTTCCATAAATTTCACTATTTTAGTTTTCACATACAGGTAAGATCATACAGTATTTCTTTCTGTATCTTGCTCATTTTGCTTAACATAATATCCTCAACTCCATCCATGTTGTTGAAAATAGCAAGGTTTTCTTCTTTTTCAACATTGACTAATATTCCATTTTGTGTGTGTGTGTGTGTGTGTAACATACAGACATGCATACACACACTATGTTTTCTTTATTCTTCTGTTGGTTGAAAGACATTTCTAAGCTGCTGTAAATAATAGTGAAAATGGGAATTGTGGATGTCTCTGAGGTACTGATTTTATCTTTGAATGTATATTCAGAAGTTGGCATGCTAGGTCATATAGAAGTTCTATTTTTAATTTTTTGAGGAACCTCCATACTGTTTTCCATAATGACTGTACTAATTTTCATTCCCATCAGCAGTGTACAAGGGTTTCCTTTTTTCCACATCTCACCAACAGTTATCTTGTCTTTTTTATAAAAGCTACCTTAGGTATGAGATGGTAGTTCACTGTGGTTTTGATTTGTATTTTCCTGATGAATAGAGACACTGAGCATATTTTCTATGCCTAATGGCCTTCTGAATTTCTTTTTTTTAAGAAGTGTGTCTCAGTGGGCCCTTTGCCCATTTTTTCAGTTGTTTTTTTGTATTTGGGTTATTGAATTGTGTGAATTCCTTATATATTTATAAATTATTCTTTTTTATTAATTTCCTGTGTAGGTTTGATCATGTTCCTTTGGCAACGCCAAATGGAGACATCTTGATCAGAGACCTTAATTTTGAAGTAAGTTTTAAGTGATACATAAAACCTTAAATCATCTTCAGAATGTAAACTGAAAATCTCTTGTCTGAATATTTAAATGAATTTTAATATTTTCCTTAATCTCTGAATCCACAGAATTGCTTTAAAAAATCAGTTTTTGGAACATTTAGAAATCTATTTTTCTTAATTGACAGAACTTTAAAGTTTCAAATGCTGGTATCACAAAACTTGTGCAAATAAAGTCCATGTCAAGAAAGCCACAGAAGATACAGTTAATTGGAATCTCCAGTGGATAATGAATATTTAAACATGAAAGTATAATCTTAAATTAAAAAAAATATGTTTTGATATTGTGTTTACTCTGCAGGAGAATTTATACCTATTAAAACAAAATAATAGACTTTCTTATTACTGATACAAGCTGTGAAGAGCAGCATAATAGCACCACAAATAGCCTCTGAGAGTGCAGGCACTCGGCTCAGTGGTGAAGACGCTGCTTAGGATCCTGTATCCCATATTGGAGTGCTTCTGATTCCCACTTCCTGTAAATGCTTACCCTTGGAGGCAACAGTGATGTCTCAAGTAGTTCCTGTCACCATGTGTGAGATATGAATTGAGTTCTGGGCTCCTGTCTTCAACTTGGCCAAGTCTCAGCTGTTGCAGGCATTTGTGGAGTGAACTAATAATGGGTGGGAGATGTATGTGTCTGTTTCCATCTCTCTGCCTTTCAAATAAATAAACATTTAAAAAAAAATAGCCACTTGCCCAAAACAAGTAAAACCTCATAACCAAGTGAATAATGATTCAGGCAAATTTAAAAAGACAAGTCAGGGGCAGGCATTTGGTCTAGTGAAGGTGCCGCTTGAGTGTCTGTTTCCTCTGTCAGAGTGCTTGACTCCCACCTCCGTTCCCAATTTCAGCTTCCTGCTAGTGCATGCCCTGGGAAGCAGGTGCTGCCTCAAGTAGGGTAAAAAGGGATATGAGACTTCTCCACTGAAGAGTCATTGTTGGCCTTTTCCTTTCTGTTTTTGTGTGGAAATACAGTAAACCAACAACACAAATCCTTAAACATAGAGAGAAGGGTTTTGGGGACTGTATGTCCAGATACTTGGCTGTAGACAGATCGTTAATATACTAAAGCTGTTACTTACTTTTTATTTTTATTTATTTATTTATTTATTTATTTATTTTATTTTTTGACAGGCAGAGTGGACAGTGAGAGAGAGAGACAGAGAGAAAGGTCTTCCTTTGCCGTTGGTTCACCCTCCAATGGCCGCTGTGGCTGGCGTGCTGTGGCCGGTGCACCACGCTGATCTGATGGCAGGAGCCAGGTACTTCTCCTGGTCTCCCATGGGGTGCAGGGCCCAAGGATCTGGGCCATCCTCCTCTGCACTCCCTGGCCACAGCAGAGAGCTGGCCTGGAAGAGGGGCAACCGGGACTAGAACCCAGTGTGCCGGTGCCACAAGGCAGAGGATTAGCCTAGTGAGCCACGGCGCTGGCCCTGTTACTTACTTTTAATCTAAAGTCCTTTATTTTAAAGCCCTTATGTTTGGATTTAATATATTTCTGGCAAGTCCCTCTAACACCACTTTCATTTTCTTGAAAAGGCTCTCACCTTTTTACTTTTATTTTGGTTTCATTTGGGAATTTAGGTGAGTCACGTGTTATTCCCTACTTGTTCAAGTTCTTTACTTCATTAACTGTGTTCCTCACCTCCTGGTGTTTATCCTGTTACTTTGACTTTTTCTGCACCCCTAGGAGTTTTCTTTGACTTTTGTCCTTTCTGTCCACTGTTAGGACTCCCTTTTCTATCCTTTCTGACTCAGAGTATTCTAAGTTAGTTTTGACTTTTTCCTCATTTATCCTGTCTTTATGTCATTTTTCATAGCATAACCTTTCTTTATTTACTTCTTTGTGGCATCCAATTATTTTCTACCCATCTAGCTCACTTGATAATAAAGATTCCTCTCTCTTGGAAAGAGGCGTAATAAATCTGCCCATCACAAATAAATGTTTTGTGCTTTACGATTGATTTTTTTTTGGATTACATTATAACCAAATAATGTAAAGTTCTTTGGGATAAGAGATTTTATACCTTTTTCCTTTATAAACTCCTCAGCACGGGCATATTTATCTATCTAAATATTCTTCTGAGAGATAGGGTGGACTGAAGAAACCCTAAGAGATAACCATGTGTAGGTTATCAGGTAGGGATTAAAATAGCCATATACTTTGTAACTTACTCAAATGTTTACCTTTTCAGTAAGGCATGTTTAAAGAAGCCAGTAACTCATGACCAGCATACTTTTATATGAGCTCTCTTTTACTTAAGTCATATTTATTTATAGAATTTTCAAATCATACTATGGTAATTTCATAGGCAGTAGGATTTATCAATGAATGTTCTTTTGGGGAAACATTTATTGGTAAAATATAGGGGTTCAGAGCATTCCTTGGTCCAGTAAAGCAATTCCTGAGCTCCAATACAATGCCTAGAACTTAATTTTCAGTTAAAGTTACCTTTGACTTTTAGTCTTAATTCAACTCCCCCAAAATAAGTGTTTATAGATTTTTTTTTTTTTTTTTGGACAGGCAGAGTGGACAGTGAGAGAGAGACAGAGAGAAAGGTCTTCCTTTGCCGTTGATTCACCCTCCAATGGCCACTGCGGCCAGCGTGCTGCGGCCGGCGCACCGCGCTGATCCAATGGCAGGAGCCGGGTACTTCTCCTGGTCTCCCATGGGGTGCAGGGCCCAAGCACTTGGGCCATCCTCCACTGCACTCCCTGGCCACAGCAGAGAGCTGGCCTGGAAGAGGGGCAACCGGGCCAGAATCCTGCGCCCCAACCGGGACTAGAACCCGGTGTGCCGGCGCCGCAAGGCGGAGGATTAGCCTAGTGAGCCGCGGCACTGGCATATAGATCTTTAATACGAAAAAATTTTCACTGACTTACTCTGGTTGATATGGTAATTGTAACTTTTTGTACGACATTAGAAAGAATAATGGAATAAAGAAAAGTTAATGCTGACCCTAAATCACTTGAGCATAAGACACTACTCAAGGATTTCAGTAAATCTAATAATTACTTCTACAGTTCATCACAGTCTTGACTTTTGAGTTTCCTGGCATACTGTAATAAATAATACAAAGGGATCTTGTTAGGAGAAATACTGGTGCAGTTGTAAACCACAATGAGCAGTTTGAGGCTTATTTTATTTACTTGGCATCATGTTTTTAAGATTCATCCATGTTGTGGCATGTGTCTGAATTTGATTCATTTTTTTAAGGTTGACTGACATCCCCTTGTATGTATATACCACATTTCACATTTTGTCTGTCCATTCATCTGCTTGGATTATTGCCACCTTTTGGTTATTGGGAATAATGCTGATGGGCCTGCATTTCATCACAGTAAAAGCCAGAGTCCTTCAACGGGTTATAATGTCCTGTAGCATTTGCCTGCCCCTACTTCTTACCTGCCTAAGCCCATTGTCTACTCTTCATTGTCGTCCCCCCAAGTCAGCCTCTTTTCTGTGTTTTGAATAAGACAGGCACATTTCTGCTTCAGTGCCTTTGCACCAGCTGTTGTGGGTGAAGGTGGGGCTGGAATAGTTCTCCTCCAGATCAAATTCTAATAAACTTGCAAAGTTTTGCCCAGTTGTCATTTCAGTGAGGTCTGTTCTGACCACCTTAAAATGCGACTCCCCCACTCCCAGGTTTTCTTACCCTGACCTGGTTTTCCTCCATAAGCACTTCATTTTTAATATACTATTTAATTTACTTAAATACTATTTAATTTACTTATTAAGCATGGTCATTATTATATGTTTTCTCCCATTAGAATTTAAATTAATAGTGATAAGGCAAGGATTTTTCTTCTTTTTTATTTCTTTATGTCACCTCAGAGTCTGACATAGAACATTCAGTACGACATTGGAAATAAATAATAAGAATCTAAGGCTCACCAGTTTAAAAAAACTTGTCAAAGACAGGTGAGCAACTTGGGTAACTCCAATCTCTCAGGTCTTATTTCCTGCTGTGCTACATTGGTGTTAATGTTGTACACTAAAATTATAAACCATATTTTCTGATTTTTAAAGAGTTGATTAGACACTGAAATGACTCGTTAACTTAGAACTAAAACTACATTTTTCCCATTAATATTATCTTTATGTCATTATGGAGCAATTTAATAGCACATGTAAATAATTATAATACACATATACTTGAATCCAACACTTACTTTCTAAAAATCTAATCTACAGGAACTTTTTATTTTTTGCTCATTCATAAGTTTACTGGCTAAATCAGAGGGTCATTGCAGTAGTATCTAAAGGGCAAAGTAGAAGGCAGATGACCTATTTAACCAAAGGGAAATATGTAAACAAATTACAGCACATTCCTACTATAGAATGTACCTCAGGCAGTTAAAAAATAAAACAAATCCCAATGTACTGACTGGGAAGAACATCTGAGCAAAAGCAAGTTGTAGAATAGTCTATACAGTACAATTCCATTTCCATTTTTTAAAAATATTTTTTATTTACTTATTTGAAAGTCAGTTACAGAGAGGCAGAGGCAGGGAGAGAGGTTTTACACCTGCTGGTGCATTCTCCAAACAGCTGCAACAGCTGGAACTAGGCCGATCGGAAGCCAGGAGCCAGGAGCTTCTTGCAGGTCTCCCATGTGGGTGCAGGGGCCCAAGGACTGGGGCCATCTTCCACTGCTTTCCCAGGCAATAGCAGAGAGCTGGATTAGAAGTAGCTGGGACTCAAACTGGTGCCTATAAGGGATGGTGGTACTGCAGGTGGCCACTTTACCTGCTATGCCACGGTGCCAGCCCTTCCATTGTTAAAAAAAATGTATTTATATTTATTGTTTTCAAGAATTATCAGATTTCAGATTTCTTTCAAGCTTTAGCTTTTTTTTGTATTTCCAGTTGAAATGAAGTTAATGTCAACCAAAATGACTTTTTAAATAAAAAGAATGTGCTCAGTAAAAATTAAAAGTAAACAGAAGTGGTCTGTCCCTCATCATACCTAATATTACATTTACAAACAAAATAGAAAATTTATCATTAGCAAAGAGCTGTTTGACTCCATTGAAGTATTCATTAAGTATGTATTCATTCAGTTAATTCATAAGACTAATTTTTTTTCAGGTTCGATCTGGAGCCAATGTTCTCATTTGTGGTCCAAATGGCTGTGGGAAGAGTTCTCTTTTCCGGGTTCTTGGTGAAGTAAGTGCAAATTGACCTCAGAATTTCACAGTCTTATTTTGAAATACTCTCCTACATTGTGAATTTCACAATTGTTTCTCCTCCTCCCCCACAGCTATGGCCTCTCTTTGGAGGACGCCTAACTAAACCTGAAAGAGGAAAGTTATTTTATGTTCCTCAGGTATGACCCTATTTATTTTGAAATCTTAAATCTTTGATTTAAAGACCTTTTTATTAATTTTTAAGATCTTCTAATAACTTTTGCTCTTTTACCATTAGAGACCTTATATGACCCTTGGAACACTTCGAGACCAAGTGATCTATCCAGATGGAAGAGAAGATCAGAAAAAGAAGGGGATATCTGACCTAGTAAGGCACTGTTTATATCCTGGACCTACCTGAAAGTATTCCATTTCATATTCTTTATCTTCATCAGTTAAGTGTTTTAAACGTCAAGTAGTTTATCCTAACTTGTAGAGCCTTTGGAAGCTTTTAATTACAGTCTTCCAAGTTGAGGTTAAATGATAACCACTTCACTTAAATACTACTCATTGAGTCTCTTAACTCTCTTTACACAACTTTCTTTTTGCATTGCCTGCTTATGCACAGTAATGTTCTCTTTAAGCTACCAGATCTATTTTGAGAAGTTCAGACTACATGTTGCTACTTTGTTTTCTAAAATGTATACCTCCTAAAGTGGTATTTGTAGTGGAATGATAAAGATTCCACTTTAAAAAATAAATCAAGATAGAGAATGTTGACTTTTAGTAAGCTTAATTGCAGCTTTAATCATTTCGTTGCAAGGTACTGAAGGAATATTTAGACAATGTCCAATTGGGTCATATCCTTGAACGTGAAGGAGGCTGGGACAGTGTTCAGGATTGGATGGATGTACTCAGTGGTGGAGAAAAACAAAGAATGGCGGTAAGTATCGAAGACATCGCACATACATGCAACTGGTTGCATAAAGTCACTTAGTCCAGCATTTTGATTAATTAAGATGCAAACTTTCTTAAGAATCTTTTTACTTACTTATCTATTGTAACAGTATTGATTAGTTTAAATGAAAAAAAGTACTTAGCAATATGTAAATTTCTAATTTTTAGAAATTCATAATATACTGCCAGTACCTGAAAGAAAAAATTGTAAATACAATTATATACCATTAATCCATTTTTCTAAAACTTAAGAGGAACTCTGAGAGGCACATGGGTGTTGGGTTATATGGTAATCCTGGTTGGTTCAAGATACTTTTAGTATCTTTCATGCTATAGACATCTGTTTGGTCACTCAGACTGTGGTCAAAAATAGCTGAAGGTGTTAGATGTTCAACTCCAACTTTATTATTTTATTCTTTATTCTGCTCTTGCCTTTTCCCTCTGTTGTTAAATTATCTTTGTTTCAAGTCTCAATATCTTCTACTTAAAAGTTACTCAGAGTTTTAATAATATATTTTCCTAATACAAAAAAGTGTTTGAAAGGAACTGTTGTAATTTTTACAATGATGAAACTTCAAAAAATGTACAAAACACTACATATCAAGAGTGATGCTTTTTTTTTTTTTTTTTTTTTTTTGGAAGGTGGAGAGGCAGAGAGAAATCCCATCCACTAATTTCATTTCCCAGGTGCCTACAACAGCTAATACTGGGCCCGACATAAGGCAGGAGTCAGGAACTCAGTCCAGAAACCTGAGCTATCACTTGCTGCCTCCCAGCATGCGCATTAGCAGGAAGCTGGAATGGAGAGCAGACCAGCACTTGAACACAGGCCCTCTGATACTAGATATGTGGCTTCCTCTTAACCTCAGCTCCACATGCCTAACCCTGAGTAATACTTTGTGTCCCTGTTAAGAAGGGTAGCTTTTGAATAGCTTTAAAACTACAGGAAAATTGGCGTTAATCAAAGGATGTTTGGGTAAGAAGGGTCAGAATTTGAATTTGGGACATCAGAGGAAATGTAATAATACTGTTGAATGAAGAGAGGTCCAGTGAATACAGTCTAAGTGTAAGGAATAAGATTATTAATCCATTATTTTGAACAGTGAAAAAATTTAAACTTTTCACAGTATGAGCTAAAAATCTGCTTTGTGCAAGGCATTGTGCTGGGTGCCTACCCTTATAATCATGTTAGGAACTGCAAATATTCTCAACACACTGTAATGCTTTGTAGCCTTCAACTATAGCTACAGAGAAAATGCACTGGGATAATGATGAGGGAGAGATTGGTTTTGGTTTATTTTGTTTTTTAAAGATTTATGTATTTATTTATTTATTTGAAAGGCAAAGATACAGAGGGAGAGATCAAGATTGATCTCTTCCATCCACTGGTTCACTCCCCAAATGGCCACAACAGCCAGGATTGGGGGATGGGGGGAAATGGAGGAGGAGAGAGAGATCTTATATCTGCTGGTTCGCCCTGCAAATGGCCACAACAGCCAGGGCTGGGTCAGGCTGAAGCCAGGAGCCAGGAGCTTCCTATGGGTCTCTGATGTGGGTGCCGGGGCCCAAGCACTTGGGCCATCCTCTAGTGCTTTCCCAGGCTCATTAGCAGGAAGCTGGATCACAAATGGAGCAGCCAGGACACAAATTGGTGCCCATATGGGATGCTGGCACTGCAGTTGGAGGCTTAACTTTCTATGCCACAGCCCTGGTCCTGGGAAAAGATGGGATTTGAATGGCAGATCTCACTTAATCCTTCCAGAAACCCTGGGAAACATGGTACAGAGCCAGGACAAACTGGGGAGCTTCAGTAACTGCCCTGTACCGTACAGCGCTGACAGTTGGAACTGAGATCCAAGAGCTTGTGATTCTGACACCAGCGCCCTTACTCTTCACCAGAACATTTTGTAGCCTTCGGTGTGCAGGTGGAACCTCTCCAGTTCCCCTCTTCATTGTCCTTTAAAGTCTCAGATTTCTCTAACTTCCCTTGCACTCAACTGTCATCAGCCAGGATTGGTCCGGCTAATATCTTAAGTTGGGATATCTTATTTCTTGAACCAAAAGTTATCTTTTCTCTTTCATTATTCTTCCTCTTCCTGTTTAGTAATAGACTTTCTTATTTTGAATTATGAAAAAGTGTATATGTTAGAAAGGTTGGAAAATTTAAAAAAATATAAAGGAAACCAGACCTCTTACCAGAGAAACAACTGTTGTTACAGTTTAGTGTTTTTTTAAAAATGTACTTTTGTTGTTATTTTACTTTAGATTGGTAGCTACCTCCCTTCTTCAAACTCCCTGAGATCTCTCGGATATGAATCCCTCCCTTTTCTTAAAACAGCTCAGTCTTCTGCCTCCTTTCGTGTACAGTTCAGACCAGGGCCTAGCACGTAGTTGAAACTCAGAAGATCCTTCCTTCTTCCCTGCCTTCCTCTTTCCCTCCTTCCCTTCATCCTTTCCACCTTCCCTTCCTTTCTTTCAGTGGTTCACTCCCCAAATGCCCATAACAGCCAGGGCTTTGCAGATTGAAGCTTAGAGCCAGAAACTCAATCCAAGTCTCCTATGTGGTCGGCAGTAACCCAATCATTTGAGCCATCACTGCTGCCTTCCAGGGTGTGCATTCGTGGAAAGCTAGAATCAGGAGCCACAGCTTGATTAAACCAGGTACTCTGATATGGGATACAAGTGTTAAGTAGCATCTTAACCTCTGGGCTAAATGCCTACCCCAGGAGATAGTCCTGAAAGGAATGAAAAAATGATCCTTTCCCCTTTCCCACTTTTGACTTTGTCATGTTACCTAAACCCAGCTCAAGAGCAAGTGCTTATCCTGACATTTCTCTTCCCAAGCATGGGTACATAGCTGAAAAAAAAATATCAGACAATGATACATGGATTGGTGCCACCACTTTCATGATTTCCAGTCTTCGAGGGGTTCACAGTGTGGCTTGACAATCATTGTACTTGTTTCTATTCTTTTCATTTTTCTTGGTAATCAATAAACACTATCAATCTTGGATTTTCTACTCCATTACTAAGAGCGACTCACTTTGCACTTCTTAAAGAAAAAAGAGGCTTTTATTTTAGTTACATGGCATTTTTATTGACTATATTTTTATATACTGTATTGACTATATGCTAAGTATTTTACACAGGTTATCTCATTTAATCCTCACGGCAGCCCTGTGAGATAAGAACTGTGAATGTCTCAATTTGCAGAGTTAATTGAACTTTGGTGCAATGAGAAAGTCTGCCAAGCAGTCAGCTAGTAAACGTGTGTGGGTGGCTTGTCAAGCTCAGCCAGCCACATGCCTCCAGTGTTCATGTACGTGATCACTTCACAGCCTTCCTGTTGTGGGATCAAGTAGTTACCATTGTCGCGGCGAGAGAGCATGTGGTGAGATGCACATGGTGAGGAAGGTGTAAGAGCGCCTTGGGAGCACAGAGGACAGGCATTTTTTGAAAACCTTCTGATAGCTGTTCCTGCTAGTTAGCATTGTGTAGGCCTCATGTCGTCATTCTTCATGAGAAATGCCAGACGTCTCCATCTGTGTTTCACAGGCCCTTTCTCCTCCGAGTTTATCACACCCCTTACCTTCAGTTATGTACCCTCCCAGTCCCCTGCATTGGATCTCTTCTAGACCTTCTCTTTCAGAAAGACATTGTTCAGGTCTCTCTGACCTAAAAAACAAACTGCAGTAACCAAAAATCCTCTGTGGTCTGTACCTTTCATTTTCTGCATAGTTGAACTTCAGGATTGTCTGTACGTGCTGCTGCCCCTTCCTCACTTCATACAGATAGATGGAGATCCCAGGAAAACGTTTTGATTTAGTCATTTGCTTCTCAGACACTTGAATGCTACCCATATATGAATGTTGGATATATAGTAGTGATTAAAACAGACTCGCAGATTTTGTTACTCTAACAGTATATGTGGGTAGACAGAGACAGGCATTCAGGGCTGGTGTCCATATCCCATAGCAGAGTATGTGGGTTCAGGTCCCAGTTTCCTGTTGAGGTAAACCCTGGGAGGCAGTATATGATGGCTGCCACCCACGTGGGGGATCTGGGTAGAATTCCTGACTCTCAGCTGCAGTGACTACATCACAGTCTTTTAGGGAGTGAACCAGTAGATGGAAGTTCTGTTCGTCCATGTCTCTCTCTCTCTCAAATAATTTTTTTTTTTAAATAGACATACAGTTCACAATCTATGAAGTGCCAGAGAAATGTTACAGAAGGGACTTACCTTGACTGAGGGTGGGGATCAGAGTAGAGTTGCTGGAGAAAGTGACATTAAGCAGAAATTCAAAAATTAAAAGGAACATAGTAAAGCATTTGAGACATAGGCAAAGAATGAGATGGTGCTGAGCCTTTCAGGCCTGTAACACCTTGCTCTTGGCAGTTGAGAGGAGGCAGTCCTGGCTGGAATGTTGCGTGTAGAGAGTGTGAGTAGCGGTAAGATGGTGCAGGGCCTTGCAGGCCGTGGGAGAGTTTGAATCTATTCTAAAGGAAATAGGAAATTGTGGAAGGATTTTAAGTCAAAGAATGAAGTTCTCTTGACTTGCCATTCTGAGATTCTCGCTGGTTACATGGAGAATGGATGGGAGGGAGCAGAAGAGGGAGGAGGAGGCTGTAGTCAGAGTCATCAGGCCGGAGATGAGTGCACTGTGAACTCAGAACGTGATGGTGGAGATGGGTACAGGACTCCATGGAACAAAGTTGAATGGACTAAAAATGAGGGCGACACAGGGTGAGAGGGAAGAGGGTGGGAAGGCCTGAGGCAGACTCCTGTGTTCTAGCTGGGATGACTGTGATAATGCTGTTTTCTGAATGCTCAAGATTAGGGGAGAATGAATTTTTGAGAGAGAATCTAGCAAATGCATTGAATTTTAGACTTTTAAAGTCTGAGAGTCCAGGGAGATATCCACACAGAAAACTCAAATAGGGATTTTTATGTGTCTTCTGGAGATTAGAAAAGTATGAGTGGCCGGCGCTGCGGCTCACTAGGCTAATCCTCCGCTTTGTGGCGCCGGCACACCGGGTTCTAGTCCTGGTCGGGGTGCCGGATTCTGTCCCGGTTGCCCCTCTTCCAGGCCAGCTCTCTGCTGTGGCCAGGGAAGGCAGTGGAGGATGGCCCAAGTGCTTGGGCCCTGCACCCCATGGGAAACCAGGATAAGTACCTGGCTCCTGCCATCGGATCAGCGCGGTGTGCCGGCTGCAGCGCGCTGGCCGTGGCGGCCATTGGAGTGTGAACCAACGGCAAAGGAAGACCTTTCTCTCTGTCTCTCTCACTGTCCATTCTGCCTGTCAAAAAAAAAAAAAAAAAAAAAAGTATGAGTAATATATTTAGTTTGCACGATGTAAGTAGTATTTGAAATGATAAAGTTAGATGAGATCACTGAGAGATGCGATATAGGGAAAAGAGAAGACCCAGGAATGATCTCTGAGGGACCCCTACATGTAGTGGTCAAGTGCATAGAGAAACAGCAGCCAAGCAAGTGGGAGGAAACAGCATCATTTCACTGTCACTTTCGCAGAGAAGATAAATCGAGTAAGGATAGAGAAATGTCCACTGTAACGTGGATATCGTTGCTGGAATTTGTGTTAGTACGAGGTCAGAATCAACACTTCCCAGAAAATAAAATACTTGTGGAGAGTAAGCATGGGAAAATTCAGCATTCCAATTAATGAAAGAAGTGCAAGCTGTAACAATCCCGATGTTTTCACTTATAAAATTTGCATAGGTTTTAAGTAGTGAGCACTGACAACAAAAAATGTACTTACAATAGCAATATAAAATAAGTGCACGGGAACATTATTGGCAGGAATATTAATTGCTACCATTGCACAAGCAGCAGAATGTTTCATAATAGAGGCCTTTTCTTGGACCTGAGCCATCTATAGTCTGAATGCTAATGTTTGGTTAAAATATGTACATGCTGATCTTTTTTGCTTAGCAGATATTCGTTGATACTGTTATAAAACCCGGCTTCATCAGCCACATCAGTCTTAAGTTTTTTGCTGTATTTTGCCTGATTAAAAACAATTGGGATTTTATTTATTTTGTTTATATTTTTAGGAGTAGATTTTTTTGAATTTGAATAATTTTTATACTTTTGACTTAGAAGATTGCAAATGCATATTTACTTTAAAAGTAAAGTTTATTTTAGCTTACCAATTTTAGGCTTGCATGTGTTTACACAGAATATTTCTCTTTGTACTTTAGATGGCAAGATTATTTTATCACAAGCCCCAGTTTGCCATTTTGGATGAATGCACTAGTGCAGTTAGCGTGGACGTGGAAGGATACATTTACAGCCACTGTCGGAAGGTAAGTGCGGTGGGTTTGTGGCGGGGCGAGGGGGAGGGTCTGTGCCCCCTTCACGTTTACGCCCCGTCCAACCACGTATCTATCCAAAGAGAGAATTTCAAGTTGTTAAATAATGAAATTACCATCAGAAGGTGATAGCTTCCTTATTCAGATTTTTGGACAAATAGAGGAAAGAAAAAATTGGAAATACATTCTGTATATCATTCTCTTTAGCCATTTCTAAGATGTGAAACACATAATTAAACTTATTTCCTTTTTATCTCATTACTTATACTCAAAATTTTAAACTGATATTTTCTTAATGTGTTCCGTTAGCTTTATCTAAACATCATTTGTTTATCAGGAAAATCCAGCAATAATGATTTGATAATTTTTAATTTATTCATTTTATTATCTGACCTAACCAATATTTAGCAAAATTTCTTTTAGTAACTAAGTCTGAGGATTTCTACATTGCTTCCATTCTTTAAATAAATAGTAGAGTCAGTTGCTTTTTTTCTTTGATGAATGATTATCATCATCTGTATTATTAGATTTTAACAAGAGTAATAAATATAGTTTCTATGTAGGTAAATGAGGCGCAGGTATATTTTAGCATTTTATGCCTGTTCTTCGGGATTTACAATAAAACAAAAGGTTCGTTGCACATACGAGGATACTTCAAAAAATTCATAGAAAATCGATATTATGAAAAAAATGCATATAGATATCATAGTTGTTTTTTGTTGCACCAAAATTCCATTTTCCACAAACTCTTTAAGTACCCCTGCATATAATATGAATTCCTGGTATTCAGAGAGCGGCCCTGGATCTGCAGCACCATCATCACTGGGAGTTTGGCAGATAGGCAGCATCTTAAGCCCTGCCAGCTAAGAGTCTGCAGTTTAACAACTCTCCCTGCTGATTCAAATGCACATTGATACGTTTCAGAGGCGCGGTGCCATGAAGGAAGAATACAGTTGATACATTCATCTTTGTAGGAAGATTTAACTACTGATTTTATTTCTTGAATGGTTTGTTTTTTATCATTGAATTAGTTTTGACAATTTATAATTTTTAATTCATTTTCCATATTGTTTTTCAAATGTGTATTAGAGATGCTTCTGGTATTCTTTTATACCTAAACTCATATAGTCTGTATTTGACTAATGCTTCAGAGGCTCCTTGCTGGTGATTTTTGCCGTGCCGTTTGTGCTGATGTTTTAGCTATGAGCTATTCATCTCCTCTAAAAAGAGTAAATGATTTCTATAAAACATAGGTTCCATTTGAAGGAAGAAGAGTCATAAGGGGGTCACAGTGATAATTTAAATTAATGGTACATAAACCTAAAATGAAAGAACTCAAGCTTCAAAACCAGTATAATTTTAAAAATTAAATGCAGACAAAATTTAAGCACAATTTTGAACTTGTAGCATTAAACAAACCTATTATGCCATTTTGCTGATACTAAACCACTAGTTTGGGATTTAATTATGGAATGATAGAATGTGAGGCCTAGATCTTATATTCTGAATTTTGATTTTGTGCTTCCATTTAATTCTAGAATTGACTCCATTAAGTAGATATCTGATCCAATTATTGTAGAATCATAAACAGAGAAGTAGTACTTGAAATAAGCTGTTCATAATCAAATAAGTGTTGTATAGCTGAAATGTTTGGCTTATTAATACTGAATATATACTTAGTTCATTATGCAATTAACAACCAGTATAAGATCAATTTTACGAGACAGCCAAATTTATGACACATTAAAAATTTTAAATATCACTTTGGGCCAACAGAAGTATAGACACAAATTTGACTTAGAAATCATGGTAGAAATGATTCAAAATTACTTATGTTGAGTTTTTTAAAAATTGTAATCAAAATGAAAATTTAGGTTTAGAAATCATGGATATCATTTAGAAATGATTTCTAAATCCATGATTTCTAAATGCTAGTTCTGTTTTCAGATTTCTGCGGAATCACGTATCTGTCAGCCTTGAGTGTCATTTTGAGAAGCAGTGATCTAGAGCAGGATTTCTCAGTCTCGCCCCATTGACATTCGGGCTTGATCCTTCTTTTTTATTATTATTTTTATTAACATACAGATTGCATAGATACAGTTCTAATATGCTAACCATACTTCCCTCCCTCCCTCAATCCTCTTCCTTCATTTTTTCCTTTAATTTTTGCAATAATATACTTTGAATTTGCTTTATAATCACAGGCTTAATGCAACACTAACCATAATGTTCAATAAGAAATAGAAAGACCACTTTTCCACATTAGTATAGACAAGGGCTATAAACGATAATTAAATCAAATCATAAGATGTCCATTTCATTTTACACCTTTTTTTTGTATTCTGTATTAACTACATGTATCAGAGAAAGCATATGATGTTTGTCTTTGGGGGCTGGGCTTATTTCAGTAAGCTTAATGGTGTCTAGTTGCAAACCATTTCGCTTTCCCTGTAGTTGAGGAACTCCTGAGCCACAGCAACCACAGTCATATCTGTTAATGTTTTTCTGAAAATCTACAAGTATAAATCCTTACTCGAAATCTGAAATCCAGAAAGCTCTTAAAACCAAATGATTTTTCATAATTTTGTAGCAAGTCCATTTGGTAACAAAACCTGGCCTGAGCTAACTAATATGTAAACTCTTTGTTTATTGTCTTAATATCAGTGCCTATATGTGTTGCTGCAGAAACATTCATGTTTAAATACAGAAACTTGCCTTGGAACCCTCTGGGAATGTTAAATAATTCACTTCCAAAATCTGAATTCCAAGACATAATTCCCAAACAAGAATTTCCAGTATGTGAAAAGCAGGTTGACTATAGACACTACTATACTGATTTATTTTTTCCTGGTTTTGACCCCTGAAAATAGTTACTGTCACAGCTTAAAGTATATGGACTGGTTTAATTTGTCACTCTCTGTTATTCATATAGACCTAAGTCATTTTCTTCTTACTAGGTTGGCATCACTCTCTTCACTGTGTCACACAGAAAATCTCTTTGGAAACACCATGAGGTTTGTATTTCTTCATTGTATCATACAGTGACAATTTATTTTATTTAAATACATGAATTTAGGTGAATGTGATTTTAGATTTCATGATGTATATATCCTTAAAAACATATCCCTTAGGGGAAAAGGTACTTTTATTTCAATTTTATAAAGTAAGGCTTTCTTAAATATTGTTGTCAGTTTTCAAAGCCACAATGTATATAAACCATCCCTAGTAATAAATGAGAGATGTTAGAGAACCAGATAATGGATCTCCAGCTTTTAAAGTGGCTGTTTTATAGTAACTGACAAATTTGTATAACCTTACCACAAATATAGCTAAGTAAACTTTTTGTTATCATCCATTGTGGACAGAAGGGGATAGAGTCTTAAGAATTAGATGGCAAAAAATTGAGGGGTATATGTCAGCATTATAGGGGGAAATTGATGATGTGAGCTGTGTTATTGTTGCACTGTAGTACAGTGGGATTCATTGTGTCATCACCTTGATTGACAAGACATGATGATGAGTTTTACATTGGGGCAGCAGTCTTATTCTGGGCTTCAGCACTGCCATTCTCATGTGGCTGGTCTTTTCCACTCTTACTGTGAAATGCTGAAAACCTGAAAATAAACCCAGTTTAATTCACTTAAATTTCTTTCCACCTTCCATCTTTCTTTTTATTTTCCTTCCTAAATGATACAGACATTTTAGGTGAAAGGAAGGATTTGAGGAAAGCTGGAACAATGATAAAGGATATTGTGTCCCATAAAAGATGTCTGGTTGGCTGGCACCATGGCTCACTTGGCTAATCCTCCGCGTGTGGCGCAGCACCCCAGGTTCTAGTCCCGGTCGAGGCGCCAGATTCTGTCTCGGTTGCTTCTCTTCCAGTCCAGCTCTCTGCTGTGGCCCGGGAAGGCAGTGGAGGATGGCCCAAGTGCTTGGGCCCTGTACTCGCATGGCAGACCAGGAGGAAGCACTTGGCACCTGGCTCCTGGCTTTGGATCAGCGCAGCACGCTGGCCGTGGCAGCCATTTTGGGGGTGAACCAACGGAAAAGGAAGACCTTTCTCTCTGTCTCTCTCTCTCTCTCACTGTCTAACTCTGCCTGTCAAAAAAAAAAAAAAAAAGGTCTGTGGTTAAGTCCCACTTTTGCCAGTACTGGGCTAGGTGTCAGGAAGGGTGCAGGTTAACTGACTGAGTTCCCTGGAGCCACATGGTGTAGATGATGGTCCACAGGTGGTAACGTGACTTCACACTCGACTACTCTGGCCTCACTGGACGGATCTCTCACCTGGAAGTCCTTAGTTAAATATAATGAAATGCTTTGTAGTTTTATAGATTTTAAAGATAGCTTTTTGTTGTTTTGTGCCAAATAATTTGCCCATTTTTCATGAATTGAATGTAAAATTAAAAAACTAGCTGTTGAAGCAGTTTCAGGTGCACCCGAGCCTTTGAGTTTCCTTAGGTATTTGGGAACATTATAGCCATGGACAGTGAGAGGATTGGGTTTCCCCTTTCGTCTTCTTTTGGAGGCACACACAAATAAGCCACAAAGCAAGCATCAGGCCAGTGATCTTGTGCAGGAGGGGAGCACGGAGACTGGGATGTTAGGGGCCAGAAGAGCTAAAAAATAGTAATACAGGAAAAAAGCCAAAAATCTTTCTATAAAGTAAAAAGTCACCAAATAAAACCAGAAAGCTTTTATAACTGTTGTCCTAAATGTCTTCAAAGGATGGGTTATAGAGAGACATTATACAGTTCTTTTTCCCCTCTGATAAATCAAAAGAACAAACAAAAAACCTTAAATTATGGATTCCAAGCTGATCTAGAAAGTGAGCTAAAAGAAGTGATAAAGACCACCCTATTCATTAGTCTTGTGCAGTTCACCCTACTGGTAGCCCAGATCCTTGGGTGTGGAGTTGTAGAAGCATTGTAATGTGTCTGATGCTTATTGATCAGGAAATTTATATTTTAGTTCTCAGAAAAGTATTATATCCACTCTAACTGATTTCTCTCATTTTTCCCATAGTACTACCTGCATATGGATGGCAGAGGCAATTATGAATTCAAACAGATAACAGAAGATACAGTTGAGTTTGGCTCTTAGAGAAATCTGGAGAACTGACGCACTGCAATGAAACAATTACAGAATACACTTAAAAATACAAAATACCTTGTAAAATAAAAATTGAGCTTGTTTTTTTTTAAAACAAAGCAACAAATTAGATATAGAATAATGGAGAACAAGTTGTTAAACCATTTAATATTATATAGGATATTGCCAATTGTGTATATGTTGGTTTAATCATTAATATGTACTAAGAATGTCCTTATTCTTGTGGTTAAAAACCTGCCTAAATTAAATTGGGCTTAAATCAGTGTAACCTGATTCATCCTGGGATGTAAACCATTTGAAGTCAGCTAATTTGACTTTGATGCCTCTATCTTTTCCTTCAGTGAAGAACCCTATTTAAAACTGGGGTCATCACTCGTCCTCTTCTAACTTTGAACTTCATTTTCTTTGTCCCATGGTAATGGGAACCAAACAAATCATAATGTGTTATTAAAAATATGTAACGTTATTGCGTAATAGCATTTATCACACGGTTAGCAGATTTCTTTAGTTGCCAGTTATATTCATTCCTTGTATATGCCTTGGGGTGCATTTGACTCTAGGAATGCCATTTGGATTTTCTTTAAGTAATAGGTGTGTCCCTCTCAGTCTGCAGGATTGACTTGTTTGGAGGGTTTTTTAGGTGATGTATGTAACAAAAATGTATGTGCAGCCATGCTTACAAGGGATGGTTTCTGTTTGTCACACCTAATCTTCCCAATGTTTGGGATTTTAATACACAAGATCCTTACCTGTCAAACTCGTGCTCTTACGAGATTTGGAATTTTTAAAAGAATTGGACGGAAGTGTGTGTGTGTGAGAAGCCATTTGTTAGAAGCTGGTGGTTGTATGGTGTCTGACTCCAGATGAGCCGTAGGAATGCACTGTGGGAAATAATGCACTGAATATGCAGTACCGTCACTGTCTTTGACCGTGGTTTATGTTTAAAAATAGGTTACAAAATGTTATGCACATGAATGAATTCTTTTTCCTGGGTGCTGGTTTATCTCTGTGAATCCTGAATAACTTTCTGTATTTGGGTTGTTAGGCTGAACAGTTTTGAGAGAAACTCACTCAGCTCAGCAGCCCACCGTTCTTGATCACATGTATTATTTGCACCAGGAAAGATGAAACAGAATAGGATCAAAAAGCTAGATGGGAAAGCAGTTTTATCAAACTGGGGCTCACAAAGGGGCATTTTATATTCTCGTTTCTGTATAACTGGTTTTGTTTTTAGCAAAATTAACTATAATAATCACTGGTTACCAAAGTAAACATAATGTACTGATTCCATAAAACTTACCTTTCAGTTTTTACCACTTCTCTTTAGCAACCTTGTATACTTATTTTCTGTTCAGATTATAAACAATCAGATACTCTATACAAACTTTGATTATTCCCCCCTCCCCTCCCAGTATCTAAATACAGAGCTGTTCATACATGGTTCATACAATTTTGACTTGAAAAAGCAAAATAAATTAACATTCAGAAAGCTATTTAACATCCAGTGTTTCTTTTTAAAAAGTCTTATCTAGTATGATATTTAATCGAATTAACTTCTCTTTTAGAAAAGTCCATTAAGTCTTCAGTGTACTTCACAAATGCGACCAAATAGTCAGGAGACCTTGAAGGATGTTAGCAGTCCTGGGAAAGATTTTACGTCGTCAGAAGCTGGGGATTTTCAGATTCCCAGGTTCCCCCAAGTCTCTCCATGGAAGTATTCACCTTGCTGCTCCTAATTCCTTCTGTAATAGATCGTAGCCGTGACAAAAACATTTTTGGAATGTTCCCTCTATTTTTCCTGTTATTTAATAGATATTAAACTGCTGCACCATTGAGGTATTGAGGCAGCAGCTGGTGGGGGATCACGGTGGACGGTCACGTGAGAAGGCCTACGGGGAAGGAATCCAGCCTCTGCAGAGCATGCTGGGCTGTGAGTCCTGGTCCATGTCATCCCCGTGAACGTCTCCACAGACTACACTGGGAAGTGGTAGTTTCATTGGAAGAATAAGCCAGTACAAAATGTGTCACTCTGTACTCACAGCCTGTACCTGAAAGCAAGTGAATGTTCTTTAGCACTGTTAATTATAAAAAGCTATTTATTTTTCTAAAGCTACATTAGTAATTTTTCTTGGGTAAAGAACGGAAGTGTTCTGATCTTTTCTATAAACAAGTCCTATGAATGTTGTTTTTAAAAAAAATCCAGAAGAAAAAAAATGGAAAACAATCCTCTCCCTACCCGCTAAGGTCATCCATTTTAAACTTTTAATTGGGCCGGCGCCGCGGCTCACTAGGCTAATCCTCCGCCTTGCGGCGCCGGCACACCGGGTTCTAGTCCCGGTCGGGGTGCCGGATTCTGTCCCGGTTGCTCCTCTTCCAGTCCAGTTCTCTGCTGTGGCCCGGGAGTGCAGTGGAGGATGAGCCAAGTGCTTGGGCCCTGCACCTGCATGGGAGACCAGGAGAAGCACCTGGCTCCTGGCTTGGGATCAGCGTGGTGCACCGGCCACAGCGGGCATTGGAGTGTGAACCAATGGTAAAGGAAGACCTTTCTCTCTGTCTCTCTCACTGTCCACTCTGCCTGTCAAAAAATAAAAATAAATAAATAAAAATAGCATTACAATATCAACTAGTGAAGTGCAAGATTTCTACAGTCAATTCATGCAAACACATAAAAACTGACAAAATAATAAATGAGATAAATGGAGAAAAATGTAAAAGGTGTCTTACTGGAGCCGCCACGACATCTGGTGGGTGGGATGCTGGATGGGGCACCTGCACCCTTATCACAGGGCGGGGCTCGCGTCCTGACTTTGCTTTTGAGCCCAGCTTCCTGCTGATGTGCACTCTGGGAAGGAGGGGTGGTGTCCTTCGTGGTCAGGTCTCTAGCAGCCACGTGGGAGACACGGTTTCAGTTCTAGGCTCCTGGTTTCAGCCTGTTACAGCTGAGCATTTGAACCAGTGGGAGTGCATGTCCATGTCTGTGTCTCTGTCTCTGAAAATAAGTAAATGATTTTTAAAATATCCTATTGGTATTTCAGAGATTCTTTTAGACTGTAGATAGGATTCCCGTAAGTGGTTTAATATCAGAAAAAGTAGAACATAAGACAATAAGCACTTCTAGAAGTAGAGGGACATTTCATACTGAAAAAAAGGTCCCAACAGTAATACGAGATAACTTTTTATGTGTGTGCAGCTGATAACTTAGGCTCAATACATATAAAAGCTGATGATCTCTCTGAGGGAAAAATAGACATCCATATTTTTAGATGAAGGCTTTTAAACATTTGTTACGGGAGCTGACGAAACCAAACACCGCAGACGCGAGTCCTCGAGCAATGCAAGCGACTTGATCCTAGGACGTGGGCGTGTGTGTTTGGCACATGTGGAGTTCTCTGACCCCTGAACGTGCTAAGCCCCCGGACTTTAAACTTCTACCTACTAGGAAGGCTTTGCAGTGTCCTTGTGCAGCTTTCATTAGCTTCACTCCTAGGCATGTGAAGTCGGCTGATGCCAGCCAGCATCGATGGTGCCTGCTTAACATTTCATGTTCCAGTTGTCGCTTCAGCATAAGCACGTATGTTGATCTCCTTGGCAGATTGTATTTCCCAAAGGTGGCTCCATGAGTATTCCATGCCACCCATGTTTTTTGCAGTGTGGTGTTAACATCTGTGGAGAGGTAAGGCCTACATTCCCGCCCCTTGAACCTGCAGATCTTGGTAACTTCGTGTGGAAAGTTCGGGAGTTTGGGGGTTGATTGAGGAAGAGACAGGACCTGCAGCAGCAGTGACAGGCAAGTTTTACTTGGATGGCACGAGGACAGGATTGCAAGAGATGTGAAGTCCCCCTCCACTCCCTCCCTGCCCTAAGAAACTTGCAAGGAGTAGTGGTGTGAGACTGCCACCCAGAAAGCAAGCAGGGCAGGGGGGCTGTGATGAGGAAAGGGGAAATCGGAGGGGAGCTTGTGTGTCTAGGTGGTGTCCCTCCGTGGCGAGGTGTGAGTCCGTCACGTGGCCGGAAAGGGATCAGCATCCACGTTAGGAGACTCTGGGTGCGGTTCTGCGGGTTACAAGTAGGTAAGCTGCAGCTGGCTCAAAAGGTGAGGTTTGCTGGGCTGTATTTAAATCTGTCCGGTGTGTCAGAATTTTAATTCAGGTGTGAAGAAGTAAACAGTTTGGGACCATCTCTAGCCACTCACAGAATACTTCTGCAGCCAATGGCATGCACAGCAAGGTCCAGCTAACTAGCCAAAGCCTTCCGGTTGAACAGTCTCTTTCTCTTGACCGTGTAATGAGGCTCACTGCAGAGCCAAGTAGAGAACTGAGTTCCTTACTGTCCTCTTTTTTTTTTTTTTTTAAGATTTTTATTTATTTATTTTTTGAAAGGCAGAGTTACAGAGATACAGAGGCAGAAAGAGAGGTCTTCCATCTGCTGGTTCACCCCCCAAATAGCCACAACAGCTGGAGCTGTGCTGATCCGAAGCCAGGAGCTTCTTCTGGGTCTCCCACGTGGGTGCAGGGGCCCAAGCACTCGGGCTGTCCTCTGCTTCTTTTCCAGGTGCATTGGCAGGGATCTGGATTGGAAATAGAGCAGCCAGGACTTGAACTGATGACCAAAGGAATGCCGGTGCTGCAGGCAGTGGCTTTACCCACTATGCCACAGCACTGACCCCGATGCCTGCCTTTTTTAATCCTTGCTTTATGTGTCATAACTGTCATAATAGATAATCTCTGACCCTATTCAGAAGTGCTATCCTGCCAGTGCTTCATTTCTGTACAGCTAGTCTGTGCAATATTAAGAGCTGCGAGACTAGGAAGCAGGGAGCATGCAGTGGGAAATGCAAGAGAGGAAAGCCCCTGGAGGAGATCCAGGGAAGCTTGGCCACAGTTTCAAAGGAGGGGTGGGTAAAGGCAGGGCACGTCAATCAGCAGAATCAAGTAAGAAAAGCTTTGCGCCTTTTTAAAAAAGAGTATTTATTTAAAAGGCAGAGATATAGAGAGAAGAGAGAGAGACTTCCATCTGCTGGTTTTCTCCCCTGATGACCCCAATTGCCAGGGCTGGGCCAGGTCAAAGCCAGGAGCTTCATCTGGGTCTCCAATATGGGTGCAGAGGGTCCAAGTACTCGGGCCATGGTCTGCTGCTTTCCCAAGTGCATTAGCACATTAGCGCATTAGCAAGGAGCAAGATCAGAAGTAGAGTAGCCACTGCCCATATGGGATGCTGGCACTGCAGGTGGAGGCTTAACCTTCTACACCACAGCTCTGGCCCCAAGCTGTGTGTCTTTAGAAAGCTCTGGGTTAAGGCAGAAGTTGACAAGTATTGTGCTTGGAAAATGTGTTTCTATTTGCAATACCAACATGACTCTACTTTTACTTTGGGCTTGGATTAATAACTTGCTGATATATAAGCTTAGTAAGTGGCATCTCACCAGATCTGTGCAGTTTTATCCATTGGTGAATTGTGTCTGTCTCCCTTCTCCCACCTCCCTCCCCCTCCCCGTCCTTGTGCAGGAAATCAGGAGTCGTGGGTTCAGCGGTGGGGAAACTCTGCAGATTTCTCCAAGTATGTGTGCAAATTACTTGCAAGACGCAGATTCTGATCCAGTAGGTCCAGGCTGGGGCCTGGGAATTTCCGCTTCTGCCTGGCTCCCCAGTGATGCTAAGGTTGCTGTCCCTGGATCACAGTCTAAGTAGCAAGGTCTGGGAGCTCTGGCCTTGGCTGAAGAGACCTTCATAGGTCACGGCAGCCTGGAGCAGGTTTCTGTGGTGGTTTGTTCCTGCACCCTCCCCTCATGCTCCGTACTTAGTCACCGAGAGAGGGAGTGGGGCTTTCTTCAGGATTCCTTTAGTTGTACAATCCAGCACCATGAACGGTCCGGTCAAGTTGGCCATCCTTCTCAGGAACTGAAGGTGGCGCCATAATCCTAACCATGAAGGCGCCTCCAGCCCCAGCGCTGTTAACGTGCAGGGGATGAAAAAGCAGCTGCGCCTGCTCTTAACGCCAGCAGACAGACACGTTACTTCGCAGGTGTTGTGTTTTGAAGATCGGGCGGGCTAAATCCTGTTCTATTAGCTCCCCGTTTTGAAGGGTTATTACATTTTGTGTATTCAAGGTGAATTATAATTTCTCAGTTTCAATATTCCTGGGCTTTAAAAAAAAGTGTTTTTATTTCCCCAGGGGAAAAAAGGTGATTTTTAAATTGCTAATTATTGATGCTTTACCTAGTAACATGAAAGGGGGGGGTGTCTGGTCTTCATAAAGTTTATGGAAAATATACATCCCTAAATATGTATGCATGGATTTCAAAAATTGTGTGCCAATATTAACATCTTTTAATTTCACTGTCCATTATCTCTTTGAATTCCCTTGGTGTAATCATAGAATTTAGACTGAAAAGGGCTGAAGATCTTTAGCTCACTTGGCCAAAGAGAAAACAGCCCTCCCAATTTTGCTTACGCTTTCTTGGAACAGGTTCCGTCCCCTGCAGCAGGAAAGGGCC